TATAGTTAGCTATTTTATTTTCTAAAATCTTTACATTGAAAAATACTTTATGTATTTTTGTAACTATCAGAGCCGTGGCTAAATGGGCAACAATGATGGTGGATCGCGATGATTCACGAGTGTGTTCTTTACATTTTGATGGAAGTTGTTTCGACAAATCTATCAAACAATTAATTAAATCAAGCACTAGGAAGAGATATAAAAATTAAGAATATACTAATAAAATATATCATTTGTAATTAACTTTCAAAATTATGACAATTTAAAAAATATATATTATAAAACATTTATTTTTGTAAACAAATGATAATAGTTTAAAAGATTTACGGCTTTGCAGATGTGGCTCCGAAAATGAGCCATAATATTAAAGTAACAGTTTATTTGATAATATATTCTTAAAAACAATTTATGCTAGATATCTCAAAACGCAACAAATCGTGAATAATAATAATACAATTGCTAAAACATTTCAACAGAATACTCTAGAACTTTATTTTGCTTAGTCAGCATATTTTTTGAATCTATAGAATTAGTTTGTTTGCAAATTTGGCGGGTTTTTAGTAATCACAAATATTCTTTTTATTTCTTCCGCAAGATGTTTTAAAAACATTCAAGTTAATTATGTTTCCATGTATGTATTTATTATATTTCCATATAAAATGCGGTAGTGGTGTAGTGGTAGAGCGCTCGCTTCTTAAACGAGTGGTTCCGAGTTCGATCCCCACCACGTCCCTGGTAGTACCGCGCTCAACTCGTTTCTCCGCGCAGCAGCCTTGCTCGTCAAGGTTCGTGTTTCGGAGTTATAGAGTTGAGAGAGGGTTATAACCTTAAATAAGTAGCCTCCTCGTCTGTAGTGGCCTTCTCGGCCTTGAGGAGGTGAAATAAAATAAAAAAAAAAAAAAAAAAAATGTCTGTAAAATAAAAATTAATATATATTAATGTTTAAGCCCCTGCCATAATATATATTGGATATTATAATAATGGAATTATAAATAATGAAATAAGATCACCTCAATACCAAAAAATACATTTTTGAAAATCAGAGAAAAACTGCGTTAATAATTTTTTTTTTAATATTTACAAAAAAATTAATAAAAGTGCATTATTATTTAGGTTAAAAATTATTTTATCTAATATTTTGAAAGAAAAACTTATAACAAAAGAAATTAAAATACATGTGGTCTAGACGATTATTTTAAAAAAGTTGCGTAAATAAAATACCATTTTGTTTTTAATTCTTTTACAAACACATTTTAGAACCTTAAAATATAATAAAAATTGATATGATTTAGAAATTGTATGTAAAAAATAATTATCAGTGTTTTAAACAAACAAACAAAAAAAATACCTATGACATCATGCATTAAAACTCCTATGAATTAAACACACTTGAATAAATTATCAAGTCTGTATAATGCGCCTGGAAAATCGCTTTTATTTTAAAGGCTCTAAATACTGCAGAAAATGGAGAAGACAAGCTTCGACTAAAACAACAAGATTTGTTTTTCTTGGTATACATTTATTAATTAGTTTTAGTTTTAAAAAAAATTGCGCAGACGTTTTCTTTAACATTCTCTTTAGTATGAACACAACATGTCTCGAGACTTGGTGGTCCCTTTAAATTTTTAATTGCACGCTTGATCGAAAAACAATTTATAAAAACGTGGTATCTAATGCTTTTTTGCTTTGATCTTACTCCTTTGGTCTATAGATTATAGACTTGTATGGTCTATAGGCATGTTATTGTGCAAATATGAACTTATATGACGATAATGATTAATTTATTAATTAGAACAATTTTATTTATTTGCTTCATTTTATTTTTAACGTGTTTTATGTTATTAAGGTTATAAACTGTATAAAACATCACAAAATAGTGTCACAATGTTGATTTAAATTAACACAAGCTCTTTATATTTTTAGAACAACTTTGCAGTTTCTTTTATAATTGTTTTTTCTAGCTTTTTACAAAAACACTTAAATACTCTTTAAAAATAACATTATCGTTAGATAGTTTTCTATTACTAATTAAAGTGGTAATATTTGTGTTTTTACTCTTACTTTTTTACTTTCACTTTTTTAGGTAAAAACAATTAATAAAAAAAATATCTTAATAGTATTAAATCGTTACTTGCTCATTACACTTTCATTGCATTTTAAACTTAAAATTATAACTTAAGCTGTAAATTATACCAGTAACTTTAAGGCTATTTTAAACTCCGCCAAACAAGAAAATTGTAAGACTATTTAAATATGAGAAATATGCTAAAAAAAATAACAATTACGTACAAAAGATACAATTTTATACTCCGCAACCCCCCCCCCCCATTACCGTAAAGTAAGAAGGAGGTGGAGGTGGAAGGAGTGGGGGTTGAGTGGGTTTATAAATATATAAGTTGATTTCAATAAAAAAGGACAGCGTGTAACTATTTATATAATAATATATTAACAATATAGGCAGGCTTGGCGTGCGATCGCACTCTGTAACTGACCACGCTGATATTTTTATTTCTTTACAACTTGACCACGGCTATTTTGATGTTTTAACAATTTGAATGCAATAAAAAAAAGTGTTAGGTTATAAACATCTTTTAATCATTGATCTTTCCTTAAGTTTTTTATTTTAAGCAAAGACTTATTAAAAAAACCATATAATTAATTAAAGTTATTGTTTACATAAACGCTTGTGTAAATTAATAAAAAACGTTATACATAAGTTTTTTTTATGTAGGCATTTATTTTTTATGATAAATTTAAACGTTTGAAACTATTTTCTTGTGTCTTCCTAAAACATTTTTAAACCATTAATTTTAGAAAGAATTTTCATAAGTTACTTTAATTTGAGAATAAGTTTAAAAGCTTTTGTGACTACTAGCTTTTACACATTTTATGTGAATTACACAATATAAAATAACTTTATTTACTTATATAAGCATGTATTTTGTTGATTAATGAAAAAGTTTTAAAGCATTTTGTAATGTTCATACGATTAATTTTTATGATTAAACTTACGATTTTTTAAATAAACATTTTATTTTTTGTAAACAAACTTTTTTTTTTTAATTTCTTTAGAAATGAATGAGTTTAAATCGTTTATAATAATTTTTAAATTTGTTACGCAAAGCGCTTATTAATGAAGTTGTAATGATAAATTAAAATAAAATTAAAATGCTTGTTGGCAGTTTATTTTATTTAAATCGCAGGTGCATTTTATTATTTTTTTTTTTTCTAGTTTTACGAAATGAAACTATTTTCTTATGTTTTCCTAAAACATTTTTAAACCATTAATTTTAGAAAGAAAAGATTTTAGAATAAAAAAGTTCAAAACCTTTTTCTTAATTAGACTTACTAATTAGAGCATGAAATAAGTAAAAAAAATTTTAAACAATTTATTTTTTGCTACTTTTTTTGACAAAATAAATGTTTAAACAATTTAAAAATATTATATACAACACTTTTTAATAAATTTAATAAAATTTGTTCATTTATTAAACCAATCATTAGTAGTAATTTGTTACTTAATTTAAAAACGTTTTGCGTAACTTTAATAACGTTTAAAAAGATAAGCTTTAATAACGTTTATTTCAAACATAATTAAAAACGTAACAAACAGTTTTGCTTTGAATTTAAGTTTTTATTTTCATTTTAGTGCTTATATAGTTTCTTTTTCCTTTCTTTTTTCATTAAGAATTTTTTTTTCGTTTAAATTTAGCTTCGCGTTTCTACATTCAGAACATTTCTGAAATTTTTAACTCATTAAAACATATAAACATTCATGGTCAAGCTGTCAAAAAATAAAATCATTTGCGTGGTCAACAATAGCGCTCGATCGCACGCCATTCCTGTCCAAGCCTGTATAGGTCAGCAAAATATGGTATATATATATATGGTATATATATATATATATATATATATATATATATATATATATATATATATATATATATATATATATATATATATATATATATATATAAATAAAAATATGGTATATATATATATATAATATATATATATATATATATATATATGTATATATATATATATATATATATATAAATATGGTATATATATATAAATATGGCATATATATATATATATATATATATATATATATATATATATATATATATATATATATATATATATATATATATATATACACATACACAACAAAAATAAAAAATAACCAACATTCTAAATAAATATAACTAAATAGAATCTTAAACAAAATATTTTATTTAGGTTTCGTCTTAAAAGAATTAAGCTACTAAAGGGATAAAAAATTTTCTTCTATGAATCAATAGGTTTCATTGAAAATCAATGGATTTCAATTATAAATAGATCAATTTTATGGAAAGTTTACCATAATTGATTGTATTTATTGTATTAAAAAGAGATGGGTACTATTTATCATTTTCAATATTCGGAGTGCAAAATTTCGCAGCCTAGGACATTATCAGGCATCATTTATGTTGCAAGAATTTAACTTTTGATATTTTGTTGTTAAAGTGTTATCTATACCGCTGTTATCTATATAATTATAAACAAAACATCAGTTATGTTTCATGATTAAATTTAAAACATTTACATAATTTTTATTTTGATTGTTTTAGTAATTGTTAATCAAAAACTGTTAATCAATAGCTATATAATAAATTCTTGCGACATAAAAAGAGACAGATAGAACCCTTTAATTTTCACGCTATGATTTCAATTGTTCTAATAACTATTAAATTAGGTAAACTCTATGAGAGAAAATTAGGTGCAAAAAGAAAAATTTTAGGCTCAACAAAAAATTTCATAAAAGACTATATCAATTATTGTTTGAACACAACAAAAAAACTGTGTTTAAATTTAAATTGATGTAAGTTAATATTTTATATCAAAGCTTTTTGTACGTGTTTGTGTACCAACATAAATTTATGTGGAAAAAAAAGTTTTTGCTTTCATAAGTTATTATTACAACAACATTAAAAAACTAAAATAAAGAAAAATACCTCATCATCTTGAACTTTCGATATGTCGACTAAAACTTTAGCAGCAGGATTATCAACACCAACTGAACGTAATATGGTAGCTCCATCATTTGTGACTTGTATTTCACCATTTCCTCTACCATCACGGCCCATTGAAACTAAAATTTTATCCATTCCCTTGGGGCCCAAAGTTGTTTTAACTAAATCTCCTATTGTGATAGCACCTACAAACGAGGAAAGACGAGCTGTTTCAGCTCTTTCTTCCTCACCACCTTTATAAAAAAAAATTATCTCTTAAAAATAAATATTATTGTCTTATACAACAACCATTATTACATTTATAATCGACATAAATAAGTAATGACTTAATAATTATGCATGAATAATAACAAGGTTGCAACACAAAAAACTATAAAAAATACAGGATTTTTAAAAGTAATCTTTATAAATTTCTTGAATATTCTTATATTTACTTTTTCTAGATTTTAAAAGCGCTCAATAAATCCCAGCAAGTTATCTATAGTAAGTGATTGAAAAAAGAAATTGTTGATATAGAGAAAAAAATCTAATGGTCAGGGTTGGCAAAAACCCGGCCCAGTGAGTTTTTTTTTTTGGGTTTTATTGGGTAAATTTGGTTTTTTTTGGGTTTAATTTTTATTTTGTCCCTGAAATTTTTTTGTGTGTTTTTGTTTAATGATATTGAAAATTAGTTTCATTTTCTACTTTAACTTTATTTAAAATATATTTTATATATTGTTGTTTAATTATTTATAACAAGAATTTTTCAAATTATTTTGAAAAAGATTTTTAAACATAATTTAAAACTGTAATAGAAAAAAAATTTAACGCTTAATCTATATGTATTGATTTATTTTAACTTTAAAAGTATTATTCTATATAATTAAAAATGTCAATGAGAAAATGGGAAAAAGAAGGCTAGAGAATGGGAGGTAGTAACTGAAGTTTCAATTAAACTTTGAACTTGAAATTCAAGTGAAAAAACTTGTTCCTCTGATCGATAAAAATATTTGAATAAAAATGTATTTCCAAATAATGATTCAAATAATAGTAAACCTGCTCTGATAGCTGTTATTGTTGGTTATAATAGTTAATAATAATAGTTAATAATAAGTTAGTTAATAATAATAGTTAATAATTATTTTAGTTAATAATATTATAGTTATAATGTTAAAGTTGGTTGTAATAGTTCATAAACTTGTTAAATATCTTTAAAAAAACCCCAATAAAACCCAGATTTTCCAGGGTTTTATTGGGTTTTTTTGGCTTTATTGGGCAGTTTTTTAATGCCAACCCTGCTAATGGTACAAGACAAGTATCCTTGAGGTTGCGATTGCATCACAAACAAGTTTGTAGTTTAATGTTTTTCCCCCTACAAAGATGTTTCATAAACATCTTTGTAGGGAGAAAACATTGAACAAAACGCGTTATTAGCGCATTTTGTTTAATGCTTTAACTCGTATTTAAAATTTAAACAATCAACAATGTTTTGTTTCAATGTTTTCCCCCTACAAAGATGGTAACTCGTTTTGTGACGCAATCACAACCTCAAAGATTTGGAAATTCTAAAGATGGTCCAATACATGTTTGCAATACCGGGTCACAATGCAACCACTGAAAGAATATTTAGTTTTATTGAAACTCAATGGACTGATGAAAGAAACAAATTGGCAGTGGAGATAATTAAATATATAACTATGGTGAAAATTAATTTCAAATTCAGCGAATGTATTGAATTCCTTTAGTATTTTAAAAATGAGTTTGAAATTTCGAAAAAAGTACCTATGACTGAAAAATATGAAAAAAATTTTAAAAAATAGAAAATATTAAATTTAATTCGTTTTTTTTTTTAATGTCTTTCTTTTACAAGGGTGAAAGAGGACAAGTCCTTCTCATAATTCTTTAGCAGTTAGTCACCCTAGTTTTGAAGTAACTCTTATTTTATTATATAGAACACATTTAGGGGTTAAAAGCAGACATAAAAAATCTTGTTTTAAGAGCCAACCTAATATATATATATATATATATATATATATATATATATATATATATATATATATATATATATATATATATATATATATATATATATATATATATATATATATATATATATATATATATATATATATATATATATATATATATATATATATATATATATATATATACAACTCTTGGAATTAGGAAAAATGAGGTTGGCAAATTAATGCCAGCCTCTTCTTCTCTTCAATCTTTTAAAGGTCAGCATCAGGTCAACAAAAATTATTTAATACAAAAGTCTTACCAGATAACATAGAAACGAGGTCAGCAATTTTTTGCTGATCACAAACACATTCAGGTTGGCAAACACACACACACACACATATGAAATAACTTATTTTATAAAATACTATTTTAATAAAAAAGCAAAGTTATTAGGCTACTTAACACCAAAGTTGCAAAGTCATAGGAACAATATTTATCTAGCCTCTTAAAAATCACATTTAAGGATTGCAAATCATTTCTTGAAACATGATTTATCTATTTAGGTTATAAAAACAGATTTTAAATGTGCTAAGGAATTATTTTCTGCATCGTTAAATAATTGCATGCTTTTGAAAATAATATTAACTGGTTAATTATTTGGTACTAACACCAGCTTTTTCTGAAGGAAATCTAATACAGTATGCCTAGAACTTTCAATTTTTGACCAGATTTCTGTTAAAATTTCAATTAATCTTACTAAACCTGACTTGGTCACTCTCTTTGATTTAGCTAGACTTTAAGAATGAGTTATAAATTACATATACATGAATATATTACTCGACAGAACATGTACATACAGAACAGGAACATACATGTACATACAGATTAGGAACATGTAATATGTTTATGTATCTTGTAAACATATCATGCTGCTGTTGTTGTGATTAAAATTAGATTTAATGGCAAACTAAGCCCAAAAACTTTATGTTTTATTTCAATTAAAAATTTAATATTTATGCATGAATTAAATTTTGGAAATCCAAACTTTAGGTATTTATATTCATATTGTAAAATATTAAATATATTAGACTCCTTCATTAAAATAATTGCGTTCGTAAATTTAGCTAAAAATATACAAACAATAAAAAAAACTGTTGCAGAATAGTTAAAAAATAAATAAATTCGATTGAAAAAAATTTAATGGACTTTCCTACAAAAAACTAACTTTAATTTTTAAAGACTTGAAACTAAAGACCTCAAAAGTTCTAGAGTACTCTTAGTGGATATTCAAAATTCGAAAAATTGTTCAAAGTATTTTGAAAACTATTTACAGAGTGGTGACCATCCTGGCATAATTTTTTAATTTTTTAGAACTGATTTATATAAGCTTAATAAATTATGCTTAGCTAGATATTCCAAAACAAGAAAATAGGTCAAAATTGACAGTGTGAAATAAATATTTTACGGTGATAATATGTTATAACTTCGTTCAGAAAAAAAACAATTTCATAAAGTTTAGGTGAAAATTAAAAATTTACCTGTATGTAATACATTTATGGGGTTAAAAGACGACATTTCTAAAGATATAGATGTTTTTTTGGCACAAAATGTTTATTCAGAGTTGGATGCCGTTTTTTAAAATTCTATTCCAGAATGATCCATGCGTTACCATCGAATTGAGGCTGCACTAGTTTCGGCCTTCAATCATTTTTATCATAACTTTTTAGCGATCCGGTTTGTAAGAATTCTCAACCGGAAATCATACTCAATTGTTATTCTTGGATATTCTTGCAAAAACGTGGTCTAGAAATATCAGGGTACTATTACCCTGATATACTGATATAACAAAATTATTATGTGTTTAACTGTACCCTATCCGCTGACTGGGCAATACTATCATGATATACTGATATACCAATGTGTTATGTATTATTTTGAGAAATACCGGAAGCATTTTAATTCTTCCGGTATAATCCGAAAAAAAACGTAACGGTATGAATATGTTAGAGTAGTTTAACATAACTTTTAAATATAAAACTTTTTAAATAATGTTACCGAAAAAAGAAAATCTCTAAAATACATTTCCCATCTATTAAGCAACAAATTAGGTTCACTTTTACAGAGTTAAACTTTTGAATAAAATTTTACGGTTAAAAAGTTTCTTAAATGGCTCCACAAATATTTACTGCTGAAGTCAACAATGTACAAAAAAACTTGAGTTCATAGTCTGAATGAGATTTGTTTTATTAGCAATGCGTAAATTAGTATGCAAAATTAGTTGTTTAATAATTTCATTTTGGAAATAAAGTAAACTTTTTTTGATCAAAAAAATAAATTATTAAAAGAAATAGAGATGATATAAATATATATATATATATATATATATATATATATATATATATATATATATATATATATATATATATATATATATATATATATATATACAGTGTCGTGGCAAGTAGGTCTGAGCCCCCCCCCCAAAAAAAAAAAAAAAAAAAACTAGTAATTTGGGCCCTAATTTTTTATTTATTCTTTCTAAAAAAGTGAATAAAATTTACAGACTACCCCAAAAAGCATGGTACCTGAAATATTTTAACGTCGCCGTTCATAAGACTAAAACAATCAAATTAACGCTTAAATTCAATTGAATATATTTTATAATTGTTAAATTGATATAGAGTTTACTAGTAAAGAGTTTTTTTAAATACAGTTAATGTATTACGCAGATAATACAAGTACTATTTGCGACTATTTTCATGTTTGCAAACTCATTTATTATGCCTTCATAACTTAACTTCCTTGCAACCTCGATTTCAATCGACAGCGTTGCTAAAGAAGACAAACGTTCATCGACCATTGTTGACCTATTTAAAGATACAAAGAAATATAGCTACATGTATTTATGTGTAATGAAGCGAGGTTATTTATACTAACCTATGAAAAGTTTAAATTAGTTTTAACTTGCTAAAGCTACGTTCTACACTTGCAACAGTAACTGATAACGTAAGAATGTTTATCATTTTACTGCGTGGCGTGTTATTGTTTAATGATTTCTTACTTAATCTTTCTGCTTGCTTTCGATACTTATCGGCTTACTTAATTAGCTTCATTACCTGTACACGTAGCTTGTTTATCAGTCGATACGCTTTATTTCGTTCTTTTTTAATGCGTTTTCTGCATTGAATTTTCTGCCTAGTTTCATTGTGATTTCAAGTTGATAAACTAGGTAATGAAGGAAATGATGTATCTAGTAGCGATTCTATACATAAATCATTTACTGATGACGATCGTGTCTTTGCATTTGCTCTACTGTGCTGTTGCGCTTCTTGCTATTGTTTCTGTTGACGTCGCTGCTTACGTTCAGCCTTCAGCTTTGTAGCTTTTCTTTTTTGCATTTGACGCTCTCGTTCCTTCTTCTTATGATCTTCGAATTTCGCAGGATTATTTCTTATTTCAGCTCTGAATTTCGATTGCCTTTCCTGGTTTGATTTTGTCTTCTTTGCCATAATTGTAATTCCGATCTCTGATAGAAACAAATATAATATCAGTTCTTTAATATCGATAGCTTAGCAGCAAAAAAGAACTATTAAATGATGGTTTAAAATAAAAAAAAAATTTATGGTTTAAAATAATAACTATACTTATGGTTTAGAATAAAAATTTCAAATACGCAAATCCTTAATTATCCAACTAATAAACTGGTTTTTGACATAAACGGTCATTTATTTGACATGTTTGTCAAATACGTAACGCTATTGTCAGGTCCGTAATGTAATTACGTTACGAACATGATTATTACGTTTCTGTTCATACGCTTAAAATGAATTAGTCAATTCAATACAATAATGATTTTTTTTAATAAATAACAACAAAATGTATCTAATCGTATAAATTTCAAAGATATAAGTATTAACCTTAATAAAAATTCATCCGTTACGTGCCTGACAATTCAAAAACATACGCTATGAATCGATTTATTTTAAAATGACAATGCGATAAAATTTGCCTTAATTACCGCTCACATATAGATTCCTATTAATACGCAAATGAAATAAAGCATTTTTTTACGGTAACTACCCAAGGGATTTGTTATTTTGTCAGTGAATTGTTATTGCTACGTACATGACAGTAAAATGGAGGACTTTTATTTTGCAAACACGCAACCTTATAATACAATTAAAATATTCAAATCATACATTTTTATATTTTCAATTCAAGAGTTCAGTATTAATTTTAATGACTTAGGCACAGTTAAATGTCAGATTTTATTGAAAATCTATGCGAAACATAGCACTATTAACACCGAGGACACGTAAAATCTGAAACCCTAAGCCACTTTCAACTTCAAAAAACCTTAGACCATTAAATTTAAGAAAGATGGAACTTTTCAAAATATTTAAAATTTGTATAAGTAGCTGTTTCAGAACATAAGATCATAATTTTTATGACGCAAAATGTTCTTAACTGCATGTTTGAATTTATTGGACCTAATTTCAGAAATACTCGTAATACTGTACTCAGAAATACTGTATTTATTGCAGACGGTGAAAAAAACATATTAATAAGAAAATTGGCGTAAATGTAGAAAGTAGTAATTAGTAATTGCTAAAATGTTTACATTATCTCCAGTTGCAAATAGAAAAAGGCAGCTGCAGTTGTAAAAAAACGATAAAATAATTGTAATAAAAAAAATGTTATAATGTAACTAAATACCACAAAAAGAAAATAATTTTTCTGTGAATTATTTTCAAGATTTTTTCCCGACACTTTTTCCCGAGACTTATTTATTTTATTTTATTTATTGTAAAACTCATTCACGAAAGTCTTGCTTTAGTGTCACTCTTTTAAGATTGATACGGGTAAAAATAGTTCGAAATTAACTATTAACAACATTTTTGGCAATAAATTTTGATTGTAGATTTGCATTACTGAGATCTCAAAAATGTGTCATAAATTGATTTAAAATAGTTTTAATTATGAGTTTAGCTCAAAAATTTAAAAATTTCACAAGACGAATTTACTAGATTCTACTAGAATCTACTAGAATCTACTAGATTCAAGTAGATTCTACTAGAATCTACTAGATTCTATGGTAGTTTTAACATTTTCTTATTGATATGTATATATGAAAGCAGAAAAAATAATAAATCATTTGCCCCAACTTGCCCCAATTAAAATAAGACTTTTTAAATACTTTTTTTCCGTTTTTATTTAATACTTGCACATAAAGTAGCAAACAATAGTTGATTGCTTACATTCATCATAACAATAATACATTCAGTTCCTATTAGTAAAAAAACTCGTGCTCAAGCAAATGGTATTAATTATCATACTTCAAAAACCAAAATAGGCAAGATTTTTCGGCATAGTGCATGTTTTAAAATTAAAACTTGCGTACAAAATAAATAACAATAATTCATTGGTTACATTTAGCCAATATGGCAACCTTAAACAATAATATATAATATTTCCTTTTTTTATTGAAGCATTGGAATTAGCTTCAATAAAAAAACCTAGGAAAAAAGACTTTGTGTTTTTCATGATAGGTGCAACAAATTTGATAAAGTTGAAAGAACGGTGAAAGGTTTTCCAATAAAAATGATAACAGAAGATGCCTTGAGCTTAAAAATTTAGTGTGATCTTTCTAATGAACAGTATCAAGTTATTAGATATTCATCGATAATACATTATGCAGGTATTTATCCTTCACTTTACTGAAATTAAGAATGAGAAACACAAATGTTATTATGAGGGTTTAATTGTACAGGGTTTAATCATACTCTGACAAGGATATTAACTTTTACGGAATGTCAAAACTCTTTGAGAATGTTTGCTGAAAGCGGGACAAAATTCAAAGGTCTACTTCACTTTAAAGGTGGTTTTGATGGTGCCTCCAGTCATGTGCCTATAAAAAAAAAATACTGTTACAAATATTGGCGAAGCCCAAGTTAACGAGCTAAGTCTTTTCCAGACAGCTATTGTTCCACTTTAATTAACCATCACGAATAAAAATGTGTAGTTAAATAAGAAGCCCTCTAGTACACATTACTGTAGTCCCCATACATTTCCAATATCAAAAAGAAACAGAAGAAATGATAAGAAATAAATATGAAATTTTAAAAGCAAAAATTAATAGACTAGTCAAGTTTAAAGTAAAGTTAGGAGCAGAAGAAGACAAACCTACTACATTTGATTTAAAACTAGATTTAGCCATGTTTGATGGTAAAGTGGGCAATACTCTTACTAACACTCTGTCCTCCCAATTGTGTTATATTTGAGATAAACACAGTGAACTTTATAACATAGCATTGATCAGGTCAAAACCTCAATAAAAAACTTTATCTTTGGGTCTTTCTACTTTGCCTTGCTGGCTAACAGCTTTATCGAGATGTATACAAGAGATGCAGGTGTGTGTATTAAGAAGCTGAGACAATGGAGAAGCACGGAAAATAAGCTAGCAATCATTAATTGCTGGTTAATAGCCTATCAAATAAAAAAAATAAAAAAAACTGGCGAAAACGAATGGTTGAAGCCACCAAATGTGTAGTAAATGGCAACCAATAAAACTAGCTCGAAACAATTCGAAACAAATTAGAGAAGTTAATAGCGTTCCACGTCACGTAAAACTTATTTGATCTCAAAATGATATTCAAACTTTATGCGATATTCTTAAAGTCGAAATAAAAATAAACACGGACAATGGTCGTGATAATGCAGAAAACCATGTCGAGAAAAGTAAAAGTGTATTAGAAACAAGTTAAGAACACGTGCTAGAAACAAACGTTGAAGTCGAAAATGGGTTCTAAGAAACAGAAGTGCCTTTGGCAAGAAGTATTCGAGAATGGCTCATGCCCCAAAATTACAACGATTATTGTTTGTATGATCCAAGAGGATCAAGAAGGAGTATGCCAATTTTAAATAAAACAACATTTAATATTAATGCAAGTAAACTATTTGTTGAGTTGGTTTAAATTTATTTTATTTATAATTAACTTAGATTTTCTGCTTCTATCACCTAAATCTTTCCAGACCTTGCTCTATCTACCTGAAGCTGATGCAACGTCTTTTTTGTCAACTGCTTTATCTTTGTCCAACCAAGTTTGCCCATGTTTCAGAAGTCTTAAAACGGTTCCTTTCTCCGCAATTTAAATCGGAATTTACATTTTGCTTTAGCACAAATTTTTTACATATAGGAACTAAATGTAGTATTCTCATGATGAATGTAAGCAATGATATATTGTTCGTTAATACGCAAGTTTAAGTTATAAAACGAAAACAAACAAACAAACAAACAAACAAACAACAAAAAGATATCGTATTAAATAGGGGGCAAATTGGGGCAAACGATATTCTTTTTTACTTTTTTCATATCAATGGGTATCAATAAGTAGTTGTTAAAACAACTATGGTATCTAGTGGAATTTTTTAGTTTATGAACTAAATTCATAATTGAACAAACAAAATAAAAAATCAAGGACTTTTTTTTAAATTTGTGAACCCCCCCTCACACTTCGAAACCCGTGTTGTCGGCCCTGATTTAGAACACTTTTTTAAGATCTTAGTTATGAAAATCTAAAATTAAAATTTATTATCAAAAATGTTGTTAATAATTACCAAATAACTTAAACATATGGCTTCAAATCAAATTTTAAACAATTTTTACCCATATTAATCTTACAAGACGTATAAATTGGTGAATTCTTGAAAATAATACACAAAAAAACTAATTATTATCTTTTAGTGGTATTTAGTTATATTATAATTTAAGTAACTATTTTCTTGCAATAGTTTTTTTTTCTTCCGTTTTTTATGGATTTTTATGATTCGATGACTTGCTTTGACTTATTTTCAAGCACAGTGCAAGACAAATTTTCATCCAATCAAAATAAGAAATTGGTCCCGCTATAAAATTATAAAAACAAAATTTCACTATACAACAATATCTGTTTTTATATTATAATTGATAATTTGAGCTAAAATTTGTAAATAAACAATAGGTAAGTGGGGAGAATTAGACCATTACATAGAGAGAAGTTATTCAGTCTTTAATATAAACAAATATTGACTAATAATAACTTATTATATAAAAAAAAAAAATTTCTTGCTTATCAAATAAGCAAGGAAATATTTTATAAATAGTGTGTTATAGATAAAGTTTAAAAGCAAGCGTTCTTTCAGTTTTAATTAAAAAAAAAAGGTTTTAAAGATATCTCTATTTTCTATTTTTCCTCGCTAAAAACGAAGATTTCATACAAGTGAAAAAATATTTTATACCTTTGCTTTATTACAAGGCCTTTAAATTTAAAACTTTTTTTGACAAAATATTTCAAAGAAATCAATTTTATATAGTAAAATGTTAAAAATCTATAAAATAAAATTTTTTGTAATTAATAATTTTTTGACATTTTTATTTTTGTAAAAAATATAAAATTTGTAGCTAAAATTGACTGCATTGTTTCTGAACAATCATGATCAGTTTAATAAAGTTTTCAAAAATAGCTGAAAGTATAAATTTTTTAGTATGCATTAAAACATATTCGTTTTTACAATTGTGTTTTTTTTTTATAAAGACAGTTGCCCACTTCTCCAATCTGTTCATTTCTTGCCACTCTTCTATTTACTCATTGTGAGAAATTTTTGTCTTTAGTTTTTTACTTGTTATTGTCAAGCTTGTTTATAATGTTTAAAAACTATGAGACAGTTGTCGGGAAGGAAAGCAGTGTATAAATCTTCAAAAGTAAAATTTATAAAAACTTATCATTGACTAAATCTTTTCAAATTTTTTCCTTTTAACAAGCAAATACTATTTGTTATCTTTGAAATAATGTTACCAACCCTTTAAAAACGATGTTTTCAAGAATTTAAAATGATGAGTATTCAAAGTTTATATAAACTCTTTAAAGTATCTATTAAATTGTTTTGACAACAACACCCAAAATTAAAAAATCTCAAATTAGGAGCTCATTAAAAAAATATAGAATTTAAAAGCTTGAGAATTCAAATATATATATTATAAACTTTTTTTCAAAAATTTTCATATGCACTTAACTTATAGCTGCTTATTTTAATTTTTGACATGCATACTGAAAGTCATATACTTTTTAGAAAAAGAATAATAAAAACAAACTTTTGAAGACCTTTATATATAAGAACTGCCTTCCCAGTACATACGTGTACATAATATGTTTTTTTTTTGTTAAGTCTAATTTTTTAAAAAAGGGAAATGATTTTCTTAATTATTCTATCCATTTTCTTACTCCTGATTGAATTCTATAACTTTATAAATTATTTGTCTTTGTATAAAATACTGTTGTAATATTTTCTGCTGGTTCTTCTAATAAAGCATTTTCTTTTTTAGACAAGGTTCAAAAACTTATTGTAAATATTTATGGGTTTGCTTTTGTTGCCAAGCTAGACCCACTGTCCAATCACCATAAGGTTGTGTATTTTTCTTTTTTCTGCAAATGTTAACATGGTTGTTACTCAAAGAAGCTATGGTTACTTGTTAAGTTGTGTCCTTTTACTGTAAATGTTCCTTCATGTTTAAAAAAGTTTTACTTATCTAGTTTTTTTTCCCCTCACATATTCATGTTTTTTTGACTCAAAGTTTTTTTTGCTATAACAAAAGTTCTTTATATCTAGAGGGTATCTATCCAAATCTTTAATTGACTCGTATTGACTTGCTTTTATGGTAACCCTGCAGCCCCTTATTTCAGTATAACCTCATCAAAAGCGTTTTATGCTAAGCTAGTAAGCAAAGATATATATATATATATATATATATATATATATATATATATATATATATATATATATATATATATATATATATATATATATATATATATATATATATGTATATATATATATATATATATATATATATATATATATATATATATATATATATATATATATATATATATATATATATAGATAGATAGATAGATAGATAGATATTGATTTTAGAATAGGCGCAGCGGAGTATACAAACATCAAGTCTGCCATTCGAAAACTATTTTGTTTGGCTAAGTATTAGTATCACAAAATCATTGCAAATAGGATATGATCTAGACACAGCCAATTATAGAATGAGAGCTTCAGCTTTATATTATATATATATATATATATATATATATATATATATATATATATATACATATACAACCCTCGCAAATAATTTTTGCTGACCTGATGCCGACCTCAAAAAGATTAAGGTCAGGCAATTTATTGCCGACATCATTTTTCGTAATTTTGAGGGTTGCATATATATAATTTCTAATTATAATGTAAGTATACTCTCTAGTTTTAAGATTATATTAAGATATTTTTTAAAATTTAGGTTAAGATGACTTCACCAGAATCTGGGATGCTTCGTTTTCTGCGTTTGCCTAATCCATCTTATGAAAAAATTTATGCAGATGCTAATACAATTTTAGATGACATTATTTCTCAATGTCACAGTTTCAAAACATCAAGTTATAAAACAGATAATAAGGTATAGTTTTGATAAAAGGGTAGTTCTATTGTTGTTTTTAATAATTTAATAACTCATTTTTTTTTAAATAACGATGATTGGATTGCTAGAAAACCAATTAAAATTTACTAAATATTTTTAAGGTTGTAAAAAAAAAAGTTAAATTGAAATTTTTTAGCAATTTTGGTTAAGATTAATTAAATCTAGTTTAATGATATAAGAAGTTATAAAAACTGAATTTAATTGTGTTTTTCTAAAAGGAGCCAAGTCACATTTTACATGTTTTGAGAAAAACAAGAAACCTACTAATCAAGCAATGTATTTTTTGAATCTCAATCATTTTTTAATCATAAATAAAGATGATTAATAGTTTTTTTTTTTATTCATACTAACAATATACACACAATTAGATTTGTAACTTTTTCAAACCGAATGTTAAAAAAACTTATTTTACAAAAAATGGACTTATAGAAAAATGCTTTTCCCTTATAGAAAAATGCTTTTCAATTAAGCTTAGTTTGTTATTAATAAAAAAAACAATACTCAATTAAAAAATTAATTTTAATGATTAAAAAATATAATAGTTTCATAGATCATCAAAAGATTAAAGCAAGAATAGCCAAAAATATGTTTAAAAAAAATTGTAAGCATGTTTAGAAAATCTAGTCATAGATAAAATAGCTTTGAGGTATTTATTATTAAAAACAAACACACTTGCACACACACACACACACTTGAAAAAATTTGTTTGTAAAGAATAGAATTGAACATAAAATATAAAAGATGGTGTACATACTACAGGTCTCAATTACGTAGAATTAAGACTATGACAGCCAATTACAAAATATAGAGTTCAGAAACCAATATATTTATCAATGCTGTTTTTAAAATGGTTTAAGTTATCTTTATCTATTATCCATTGAGGAAGAGAATTCCAATAGTTTATAATTCTGTTTGTATAGGAATTGTTTATTAGGTTTTAGGATTGTTTATTAGGTTTATTAGGTTGGTTTATTAGGTTTATTAGGTAGGTTATTCGGTTTATTAGGTAGAGTTGTTTATTAGGTTTTAGGTATTAGGTTTAGGAATTGTTTGTGAAGAAATGGTGATGAATTCTTGATATATAAATTGTCTGCGTATTCTACAATTGTTACTTCTACTTGATCGTTTCAGCTGGAGATTTAATAGGGTTGGTGAAAATTAACAATATTTTCTCCTTTTGAGGGTAATATTGTTAATTTTCCCCTCAAAAGGAGAAAATATTTTTAATTTTCACCAACCCCATTAAATATCCAGCTGAAACGATCAAGTAGAAGTAACAATTGTAGAATCCGCAGACAATTTATAATTCAAGAATTCATCACCATTTCTTCACAAACAGAGTTATAAACGATTATTATCTTCCTTCATACAATTTCCATAATCATAAGATTTAAATCAAAAAGTTTAAATTTGATTTAAAGTATTGCTTGTATAAACTAAGTTGGAAATAAGTAATTTGAAAATGAAGTAATGTCTTTTTAAGGATGGATCGTTCCTTTTTAAATCAGCAGACTCATCACAACCCATGTTTTAGATTTTAGATTGTGCTAATTTTTTTCTATATTATAGGGTTAATTAAAGTTAGGAAAATCTAAAAGTTGGAACCTCCAACTCTTTATGGTTCTTGAGATATTCAAGTTTCAGTTTTCTTGTTTATGCATTTTTTGCAACATTCTTTTTTTCATTAAATAGCAATATTTAATGAACAGAATCATGAGCGTGAAATATTTTATATGTGAAACCAAACACATTTTAATAAAAAATAATTTCAAAAAATATAAAACTGATTTGGGCTTCAACATTTAAAAAATGATAAAGTTGTGAAAACAGATATACTTCACACTTGAATCTAGCATTTTGTAAAAATTGGCTAAAATATAAAGAATTTAAATATTTGTATTAAAAGCTTTAATATTTGTGGATGTCACCGATAAAGAGTCTGATAAAGGGGCTAAAAGAAACTAACTCTCAGATCAATGTGTATTAAAAAAGTTTAAGCTTTATGGAGTTTATTGCATTGATTGAATAAAACATAAATTTAAGAATTTTTTAAAATTTTTTTATTTATCAATCAATTTATCATTTGCTTGGAATAAAATAATTGTTTTTTTTTAAGATTTCTGTGATTTTCTTTACTACTCTGATTTTGAGGTAGAATAAAGTTTTTATTGAGACCTTAAACTAGCTTAGATGCTTTAATTACAGACTTAACAGCATGTTCAACTGATTGAGAGTTAATGACATCACAAAAAAATGTGAATGGCTCTGCAGTGAGGACAAAAGGCTGTATCATCTTCAGATTGAAAGCAAAGAACAGGTCAAGTATAAAACTGGCTGCTAGTTCAAAAACTATTCATCCATTTAAAAGAAGAAAAAAGTCCTCGAAGTATACATCACAGCAGTAACAGCAACGGCAACGGCAACTTCTGAATCCAAATCCAAGGCAAAATATCAAGAGTTTGAAGATATAGAAGAACAGTCCACAGGCTTTGTTAATAAGCGTTATGTAGTACACAAATTTACGAACAAAATGGTAATTTCACCTGAGTGTTTAGCAATTCATGATGAGCAAAAACTTTTATACATTAAAATATTAATTTTTTTTTTACATTTTTTATGTGGTTGTTATTTAGATTAATTAAAATTCATTAGATTATTGTAAAATTCAATTTGTGAAACAATTAAAATTTTTTTTTTTTAATTAAAAAACTTTAAATATGATTTTGAAAATTAAAAATTTAATTTTAACTTTGAAGGAATTAAAATGGTTAACTTTTGAAATGATTTTGCAATACTTCTTAAAGAAGTAATTGTTTGTTTTTTTCATTTGCAAACTAATACTAACTGTAAAAAAGTGCAATAATTTAACGAAATAAGTCTCCATCATAGATTAAATATGTAAAGTAACCATAAAACATTTTGTTTTAAGACAGGAGAAGTGTTTTTGTTTAAGGTAATTTTTTACACTTATGCAATTAAAGTTTTTGTTCTTAATTCAAAATTGCATTAAATTTGTATGACATAAGTTTTGTTTATAAACAAAAATTATGTTTACATACATTTTATTCATAACTCATCTGTAAATTGTGTACAATCTTTATTAATTATATTTCATTAAATACTTAGAAAAGCAAAGCAGAAAAAAACTGTGATAAAACAAGCAAAAAATTAAATTATGTATAAAATAATTTTTTAATGAATAATTAAAAAAAGTATATAAAAATAAATAAAAAAGAAATAATATTTTTCAAGTAACAAATTTTGATATCTTTTGTAATTTTTGTTATAGTTGTTGCTTAAAAGGTATTAATGCTGTCTAAAACTACATTTTAGTTATGTGGAACTTTAAAATACACTAATGTTAATTCCATACTTATGTATAAGATACAAGTTAGCAACATTGAAAAAGTTCACCACTCAAATTATAGTTATAAAATAATTATAGTTATTATTTATTTTTTATTTTTAAAGATTTTCATATCCCACAAGGCTGCCTGCAAACACTGTTAGAGTTGGAAGTTACTTGAAGAGAAAATATTAAATTTATAGAGCGAGATAACGATTAACAGATGACTTATAATATTGCAAATTATATGAAACAGGAAAATAAGATAAAAGAAGTGAATTTCAAACAACTAATGTTTGAGGGAAAAAACTAGGCAAATTTTCGGATCACTTAGTAACAGTTACAGTGAAAAGATGAGACTTAATTGAATGACTACACAAGAATGAATTTTAATAGATGGCACAATAGATGCTAGCTCTTTAGAGCAGTGCCCATTGTAGAATTTATAGTAAAGAGAAAGACAAGCAACATTACAGCAATGTGATATTGGTTGGAGGTTGGCTGCTACAGCAGGTCCAACTATGTTTACAATGCGTTTTTGCACGTTGTCCGAAAGAAAAAGTGCATCATTGGAAGATCTGCCCCAGATAAGGCAATATTATTCCATGCAAAGACAGATTTGAGATTAATAGAGATAAAGAATAGAATCTGTAGTAAAAAAGTGGCAAGTAGGATGAAGAGATGCAACCTTAGCAGATGCTAAGTTTGCAATCGATTTGATGTATGGTTTCCAAAAAAGGTTGGTATTGGAAGTTAATCTTAATAGATAAAGGGTAGATGAATGATTGAGTACATTACTGTTCATAAATATAAGAAAATCTGTAGTCTTTAACAAAATTTTATTACAATGGTCTCTAGCAATAGTAAACAGGCGTAAGTTCTCTGGAGAACTGTTTTGCTGATAGATTAAATTAAATTATTGATTGGAAATTGCAGCAGCACAATGAGAGGAAAACCATGGAGTAGAGTGAGGCTTGACTTGGAATCATTGAGAGGGAATAAAGAAATCCACCCCAGCTTAAATCCAAGAAGTTACATAAGGAACACATTTGTCAGCAAGAACAACAAAAGATTTCTACCCAAGGGCTATCAAAAAGAAAATCACGTATAAAGTCCCAGTCAGCTTTAAGGTTGTTGTAAGAGGTACGATGATAAGGGAGTTCTGATGATGAAGAAGAATGAGATAATAAATTTAGAGAGATCAAACTGTGGTCAGAAGCACTTAAGGGTGAATGTGGAGAAACTAAACACTAAGATTATAAACAAGACTTAAGTCAAGTATATAGTAATAGTGAATGTTTCGGATTGTCTGGATAGTGATTTAGAAAGTTGAATTTTTTGGGTTAGAGATAGAAAGGCAAAAGTTGTGGGTTTTATTGCCTGCAGAGTCACTGATACTTGAGCCAAGCCATTCAGTGTAATGAGCATTAATTTGGCTGAAGCATAAAATACCAATTATACCTTGGGTAGAAATCTTTTGTTGTTCCTGCTGACAAATGTGTTCCTTATGTAACTTCTTGGATTTAAGCTGGGGCGGATTTCTTTATTCCCTCTCAACGATTCCAAGTCAAGCTTCACTCTACTCCATGGTCTTCCTCTCATTGTCATTTTTAAATTTGGTTATAAAACTTGACTTAAAGCACAGATAGTACTCAGTACACTATTTAATATCCCAAGAAATTGCCTTATTACTATTAATAAACCCTTAGCCATAACAAGGGGTCCAAATGTGGCCTCTACAATGCACACCAAAGATATGAAAGGGGACACCATCCATGCTCAATATGGCACTGTTATTACTGTTAGCACTCTGATATTTTATAGCTGTTGATGGAATCAGCCTCTCTGAGAGCTACCACAGAGTTTGGGAAACCTGACTACCAGCTAACTTCAAAACCCTAAAACTGAGTTTTAGAGCTGTACCCTCATTAGAAGATAAAAGAATGAGTTGCCTAGTCATAAAACAGAGGCTCAAGCGAAACCTATGCATTGAGTCAAGAAGATCCAGCATTCAACATCCTTAATTGGAAACAATGTATTTACATCTATGTTAGTCTAATAGATAAAGAAGGGGTGCGAGGCTGGTCAACAAATAGATTCTGGTTTCCATTTAAATATTAATTTAATGTATAGCTAACAAAATAACATAATGTACAGCTAACAAAAAGTGACAATTTTTTAATGTGCTTTTTTGCTTTTTTATAACAATGTTGGACAATTCCAATATTAAAAACAATTTTGTTATTAATATTAGAATTTATAACTTATGAAAATTTTAGTTTGAGAGCATTAGTTTGGGCATCCATACCAGTCAAACATTTAGGAATAGAGTGGGTACGGGTATGGTACTGACTTCAATTGTAGTTAGGATAACTTGACAATATGCATTTGATAACTATAATTAGGATGTTACACAAACATCTAAACATTTACAATTTTTTAAAATTTTTGTTTAGGAAATGGTAGCTTTTATTACGCATGGATGTAAAATTCTTCAGAATGCAACTATTTTACTGCGAAGTAAATTTGCCCAAGTTATTAACATATATCTTCCACTTATTAAGGTACATATAAATTATTTTAAAGTAATATATATATATATATATATATATATATATATATATATATATATATATATATATATATATATATATATATATATATTATTTTTTTTCAGATATAATTGCCTAAAAACTATTGTTTTTTAAGTTATAATAAAAAAGTTAATATTTTCAAGTTTTTTTAAAATAAATTAAAACATGTTTTTCATGTAAATTGATTATTATTTTTCAAGTTTTTATATAATTTCGCTTCTTTTGAGTACCAGGTTGACTTACTTTAGAAAAACTATTTTTTTCAAAATATTAGGGACCCGTCAAATTTATATATATATATATATATATATATATATATATATATATATATATTTTCTAAAGTAAATATATATCTATATATATATATATATATATATATATATATATATATATATATATTATATTTCGCGTTTTGGCGAAATTGGGAATTTGTCAAAATGTTTCCCAGTCCTTCCCCCCCCCCCCCCGAGATTAAAATGTGTTCCGGGAATATATTTTTTCTTCTACTTCACTGCAGCGCTGCATACATTGGTTGGACAGTGCCAAAAATAAAATAAAATATTATCTGTAACATGTATTGAAGATAAATATGAAATCAACGCAAAATTAGACATAGTTTCACAAGGATACGGCAAAATATGCTCCGATTTCTAAAGATATATTATAAGTTATATATTTTAATATTATAAAATAATCAGTGTATATTAATTAATCATTATTAAAAATAATATACTTGAGTAATTATGAATATTATATCGTTGCCGCTTTTATTTTACAAGTAATCTTTTGAATATATGTTTTTTTAATGGTGGGAATCAAATAGCAATTTTTAAAGTAATATAAAGTAAAATAGCGATTTAAGTACAAAAATACAAAATCTCAGCAATAACAACAACAAATGTTGTTTAATTACAAAAAAAAAAAAAGTGATTGCAAGCGCTTGCATGCTATCGTGGCAACGAAGAATGTCAATAATTTTTTTTTCATTAATAGTGATAAAATATTTTTATCGCTATGGTTCATTCAAACAATTAAGTTTGCTTTTACATTTTAAATTCAAGCAAGTAGTGTATCCTGTTTTCTTGATTTTTAAATTTCTAGTACCAGTTTGTTGTAAGGTAGAGCGGGGCTAGTTGAGAAATTTTTACTAAACACATATCATGAACGGTACATCGATTTAAATAGTTTTTTCAATATTTGAACGGAAGTTTAACCTGCTAAAATTGTGTTAAGAAAAAGTATAGTTTTTGATTTTTTTGAGAAGATATTTCCTAAAGTTTGTGGAGCTGCTCAACCTACCCCAGCAGGGTAAGTTTAGCAATAGTGTGTGGAAAGTTGAAAAATCAACAAATAAATGAATATATTGTATGAAACCTGGGTGAATTATCAATAAATTTTATTTTATACACTTTAATGATATTAATTAAAAAAAAGAGAAAAAATGAAACAATAAGAAAGTGTCATAAAAAACTACTTGAAGTAGAGCTTGCAATAAGACTTAATAAGTTATTTAACTTTTCTGCCAAAAAGTGCAAAACTTTTAAAAAGATGGCATTTGCGAGTGTTAAACCAAACAAGTGTTAAACAAAACAATAATATAAATACTAGCAGTAAGCGACCTGTAATACGAGTTGTTAATAAATCAATCACTAATAACAATTTAACTTATCTAAAAAATATAATTTTATCATCTAAAAAAATTTAATGAAATTCATTTTACATTTTACATAATTATTATTGTGTTGAGAAAAAAAGGAACAAAAAAAAACAAGAAAATAGTCAGCTAATATGGCAACCTGGTAGCACGCACACTGAAAGTCATATTTTAGCTAGCTTAATGCCCTAGTTCTACACAATGACAACTATATTGAGTAGATTAAATTTTGATCATTATAATCAAATGCAACCATTCTTTTGGCAATTATTAGTTATTAATATTTTCAAAAAAAATTAAGTTATATATAAAAAAATCTGTAAGAATAACTGAGATTCATATATCATGACTTGCAAAACATTTTTTAAACATAGTCATTACCAAAAAATAAATAAAAGCTACGTAATAACAGAGTGTTCCAATAATGCTCCCCTGTATTAATAAACCTTTGTTAAAAAGAGGTTAGGCAAATTGTGTTTTAAAGACACTGTGTTAAAAAAAAGTTAAAAACATACAATAAATCATTATGATCCTAACTAAAGGTTTTATTTTTAATAACAATCCCAAAAACAATATATTAGCACAAAATAGCTATAGCACAATTAACCATTAAAAAAAAGCCTTTTAATGTTACCACTAAACAAAAATATTTTTACCTCAATTATTTAGAACTTCAGTTTCTTCATAACTGTTGACTAACAATTAGCACAGTAAATTTCACATCATATAGATTTACTAAATAAATACCATGTTTTAACAGTAAGAAAACTAATAAAGCAATGACAACAACAAAAAAAAGATTAAAATTATGTTTGAACTTTAAAAAAAAATCATTTAACTTTAGGATAATTATAATCAGTTATATGAAAATTTTATAGAATTTGATTTTTAATAAATATAGTGACTAATATTAGAACTAAAATGATAAATCTGATAATCTAATAAATAATATTCATAAAAACTAATAACAAAAAAGTTATTATAATATTCTTAAACTTATCAGTCGTGATATTGTGGAATATCTAAAAGTAATGAAAAATAAAAAAAAAAGTATAATAAAAAGTAGATATACGTAAAGTTGCATTTCAAATAAAATATAAAAAGTAGCACTTATCTGATGGGTACAAGAAATTATAATTAATAACTTTAAAAAAAGCACTTATCTGATGGGTACAAGAAATTATAATTGGTAAAAAAAAGAAATAAAAATAAAAAGAAATGTATCTTAATAAATTTAGTATTTATATTTAGTTTGAGTATTTATATTTTAATACTAGTTAAAGTAAGTTTTATACTAAGTTCTAAAGTGTCTTAGTTCTAAAGTGTCTTAAGTAAAAAAAAAAAATCAACAGAAATTAAGACCACCTGGTACAAATGGTACCAAGTAATACCACAACTTAGGAACATCACTTGACTGGCAAGGATAACAATTTTGCTTTATACACTGTTAAATAACACTACTTTTATAACATAGAAAAAACTGAATATAAACATATATAATTTTTGAACATATTATATTTTATAAATACATTTAATAATCTATTAAAGATAGAAAAGTTAGTTGCTATGTTGTTGCTTTCTAAAATTTACTGCTGCAAGTAGTATACAGTTAATAATATGTTGGTGGATTATCTTGATCTGGCCTAAGATTGACTACACAATAAAAAACTAGACCACATATTCTAAAACATGGAAGTCTATAATTTATAAGTTAAACACATCAGTAAATAAAGTAAAATAAAGGCATTATAAATTATAGTATATTTAAAAAATTATGAAATATATAACTTCCCATGAATAAATCTTGTAAAGCTTGTGGAAATAGTGAAAATGGAAGCATAACTACCTTCCTATTATGGCAACATAAAAATGTGTTTTATCAAGAAATTTTTGACACCACAATGTGAACAGATCTGGATCATTACTCCTAAATAATTATAATCTAGAATAGTATCACTTCTTGCTATTCAACGCATTCTTCCTTGTTTAGCAGTATTTTGTACATTGTTCAGATGATTAATCTGATTGATTATCTCGCCTAGGCCTATCTCTTTCTATCTTTATTTATGTTATGTTACTTTCAACTCGCCTAATCATCGTGTTCTAATTTAGGTATAAATTTTTTATACAATGCATTCTTCCTTGTCAAGCAGCATTTTTTACATTTTGACAACAATAAATTTCAGCTTGCCTAGTTCTAATTATTCCCATTAAATGTCAATTATTTTCAAGTTATTAATATTTCTTCTAATAACTTCTTTAAGAATAATATCATTCATTTCAACTTCACTATTATCAATAAACATATTAACAGCAGTGTTACTACTGTTGTAACAAATAAACGCAAAAGAATCTTAAGAGTTATGATCTTTTCTATAAAATTTCTTACTACTATTTTAAGTGTTCATAAGAAAAAAATAAATAATTTTTATTAATAAAAAAAAGAAGTAAATAAATAAAAAAAAAATAATAATAATTATCCAAATATTAATAGAATTAAAATAATATTAAAAGTCTATATAAAAAGTCTAAATATTAATAAATGCCTTATGTAAAGCAATACATTAAAAAAAATGCAACTAATTTAGAATATATGATATATAAACCTCTACAATACAACTCATTAGTTTAACCACTGATAAAGACTTGAAACAAAACTGAACCAAAAAAGAATTGCATAGTTCTAATATATTTAGTAGAAAGAGGTTTAGAAGAAGTTTGAAGTTTAGAAGTTTGTACCAAAATACTAAATAGGTAAAGTCATTTTTTTATTAGTATTAAAAAAAGAAAACAGAAAAAATTAGAAAAATAAAAACAACCAACAGCAAACAAACGTTTTTTATTAAGTTAAACCAAAAACATCAATACTTCTTTAATACTAAGAAAATTTATCAGCTCTAATATGCTTGCAGACCTTGCTTGAAAGGCCGCGTGAACAGAACAGGTTTTTATGAATAAAAACCTGTTCTTTAGAGTGGTTGTTTTTCTCCACAAAAACACAAAAATTGCATAAAAATGACCCAAAATATAAAAAGTGTAAATTATTTTCTAAATTTTATAAGATCTTAGTTAATTTTTTATAGTAAGTAATTTTGTAAAATTCATAATTTTTGATATAGTTAAAAATTCAATTAAAAATAGTGAAAAATTTCTTTATAGTATTTTAAAGATAAGTTTGTTCAATGACAACTTTTTTGTTTAAAAACTATTGTCCTTGTTAGTTTCATTTTTTAATGTCAGAAAATAAGGTTTAGTTTTAATATATTTAGAGTGCCATTGATTACGAATGTGTAAACAACTTGGTAAATTTTTTATGTCAATCAATGTCAAATAGCAAATCTGCTCTTGTATTAGAGTTTATTAAAGCCCTTGCTGCAACATTAGCTGGTAACGGATCACAGTTAAGTGAGGTATGCTTTTATAGTTTTTTAGCTCTAATGTAATATTAATGATTTCAAATCTGAGAACATTAATTATTTGATTTTCTGTTAACTCATTACATATAATTTATGCTAGAGTAAATTTAATTTAATTTCATCATATATGAAGTATGATAAAGCTTAATTCAATAAGAAATTTTATAAGTTTAGTTATAAGTGAATTTTGATTATTGATTAATCTCTTTAAAGGGATCCCAAACCTTAGGGACATGCTGTGTTCATATTCAGGAGAATGATTAAAAAAAATGTTTGGCATAAATTTTTTTGATTAAAACAAAAGAATAGATACATACCAAAACTAACTTTTTTATTTTAGTCGAAGCTTGCCTTTTCTGTTTTGTTATAGGCCAAATAGTCTTCATAATATACGCTTTAATCTACAGACTTGATAATTTTTAAAGTGCTTTTAATTCCTAAGAGTTTTAGTACATTACGACATTTTTTAGTACATTACGATTTAGTACATTACGATTTTTTAGGATGTTTACATAATCAATTTTTTAAACAAACAAAAAAAACCAATTATGCTTGCAATAATGCAAAAGCTCTTAAAAATAAAATGCGCTTTAATAAATTGTTTTAAAATTGAAAACCAAGTCAGTAGATTTTGGTGTATATTATTATGACTTTTTGACCTAAAATCAAAACAACGAAAGGTGAATAGTTAACTAAATAAATGGTATGCATTTATTCTTTTGTTGTAATCAAAAAAGTTTAACACAAACATTTTTTTTAATCATTCTTTTTAATATGAACACAACATGTTTTGGAAGTTCTGGATCTCTTTAAGGTTATTATTTTTGTTTCCTCTTGTTTTATTCTTTCCATTTCTTTCTGCTAGTTTTTAATTAGTTATTTTTATTTGTGTATTTTTGTTATTTTTTATAGCTTGCAAGTTGTATGTGCTTTCTTTATATGGTGTATTAAATTAAACTTTTTCGCTATCGCAGCATTATAGTTATCCATAATAGATAAAGTACTCTATTTTTAGTAATGTCAGGTGTACCACGAGGTTCCATCTTTATCACTAAAGTGGCTTTTTTTATTTTTTGATGAAACTATTTTTTAGTTTTTATAAAAAGTTGTCACTTTTTGATTACTTAAAACAGGTAGCTAATTTTAAACAACTTTTCTGTAGTCATTCAAAACTTACAGTGGCTGTGAATTATAAATAGCTAAAATAAAACTACTTTTTTGTATTTTTTTTTAGCTTTTCATTCAAGTTGTTTTTGACCAATCATTTAAGCTATTTGACAATCATTATCATATTTATCTTAATATTATACTATACTAGACCTCTTGTAGACCCATAAATTAAATTAATTGTGTCTGCTGAGTTTTCCTTTCTTTATTATGATTGTCTATCTTTCTATAAATTTTGGTTCATTAATGATAATGGACTTTCTTTTTAAAGCAAAACAAACCTCATTTTCATTTTTGTAAGGTTGCATCTCTTAACTAAAAATTAATCTCTATTTCTGCATTATATTGTAGAAACTTTTTCTCTTTTCTCCAAAAGCCATGATCCGATAATCCATGATCTATTTTCTCATATCTACAAAAATCCATGCCCGATGTATTGAGGTACTGTTTGCAGGAAGTAGCTCTTTTTAATTATTCCAGGTCAGGTCAGGTTCAGGATCATTATGATCACCCTGCTACTACTAGAGTGTAGCAGGGTGATCATAGAGACTACCTTGTAGAGTGTATTTTTTAGGCAAAGGCTAGGAGAAACAAACTCCGACTTAATCCCCTGCCTTAAGGCTCTTGGTTGAGTAAAGACAAGAGATGATGTCTCAATAAAAATACTTATCTTGGGCAAATGTTAACTGTATGTAGCAAATGTTAATTGTATGAGGTCTTCTAGGCAAAGACTTTAGGGGTGAACAAAATAGTTCTGCAAACCAGCCTTGAACCTCTTTATCTTTTAGGCTGGTGTAGATGTAAACTTGTTTTACATTGTTTTCTGCCTAGGATGATGAATGCTGGATCTATTTGACGCTTCTCATAGGTTTTTGCTTGTGCCTTCTTAGTAGTGGCTACACAACTCTTCCTAATGAGGGTACAGCTCTAAAGCTCAGTTTAATTGTTCTGAGGTGGCTGGTAGTAAGGTTTCCCATACTCTAGAATAGCTCTCAGAAAAGTTGATTCCATCAACAGCTACAAAATATCAGAGTATTAACAGTGACTTGTTGCGCATGGATGGTGCCCATGTTACTGCTTTTGTTGTGCATTCTTGAGGCCATATAAGGATCCCTATGTTATAAATTAAGGGTAATTAACAGGACTGAGACAATTGCATAGGTCATTGCTTATGTGGTGGTGCTTTATCTATGAATAAGTCAAGTTCTCTTTAAACTTAAATCATGCCAAAAGTACCGCAAAATATTAAACATAAAAAACCATCTCCATCATCTAACTGTTTTAATATATCTTTTACTAATACTCGTAGTCTGCATAGCAACCTACCATCAGTTGCATCTTACCTCTTGCAATTCACCAGATTTGCTTGCTCTTAGTGAGATTAATTTTAATTCTGCTATATTTTCTTCTGATCTTAGTGTAGATGGGTATTATCCTTTGATTCACAAAGACTCCATTAGTCAGATGCTTGGCTTGGGGGTATACATATGCATTAATTTACGTATTTGTTGTGAAATCAGGTTCGAATCCTTTAACCATTCTTTTATGTGCTTCCACTTAGAACATCTTCACTCTTTCACCTTTCTCTTTGTTTTTTATTGTTCTCCTTTTTCCCAACTACGGTCCTGATGTGGGCTGAGGTTTTTTCCCTCTCAGCTGAAAAATGCGCCTCCTACTTAACCTCCTGGATTCAGGCAGGAATGGAAGCTTTTATTCCTTCTTTTTTGTTCTAAGTCAAGCCTCATTTTACTCCATGGTTTTCACCCTCTTGTGCAGCTGCTATATCTAATCATTTTTTCATCTTTTTCAAAAGATTAACTCCTGAAAATAAATAGCTATTTATTATTACAAGAAATCGATGTAAAAAGGTGCTGTCAGATGCTAAGTTCCATTATTATTATTCTTAGGTCACTAAATATCGTTCACTTATCTCAGAAGTTACACTCTAGAGACTTTTGGAAAATCTTCTGCAGCATCGTTAACAGGAAGGTCTAACATTCCATCTCTCATTTATGGGACTGGTCTTATTACCTCTCCCGAGAATATGGCAGAACTAATTGCAAAGAACTTTTCTTCTAATTTGACTCTTGAATCTTATGGCCATTCTCTTCCTTCCGTTCCAATTAAACAGGATAACCCATTGTTAGACATTAAATCACTCCAGCTTCTGTTGCTAAAGTCATATCTTGATTAAACTCATGGCTTGTGGTCCAAATAACATTCCTGTCATTGTCAAAGTTATTACAAAATTGTTCTCCAGAACTCTCTTCAATTCTGTCTAAACTTTTTAACAAGTGTTTGATTGAGTCTTGTGTTCCTGCCTGCTGGAAAATTGCATCTGTTGTTCCAATTTTCAAAAACTCTGTTGAATATTTTGATCCCTTTAATTATTGTCTGATTAGTCTTCTCTCTGTTATTAGCAAGGTCTTTGAGTTTTTGAAAAACAAATTTCTAACACCCCATCTTGAGTCAAATAACTTACTGTCAGACAATCAATACAGTTTTTTCTCCTCTTGCTCAATGGCTAACTGCTGTGGCTAAAAGATTTTATTGTGCATTAGATGGAGGCAGAGAGGCTAGAGCTATTTCTTTTGACATATCTTAAGCTTTTGACAAAGTTAGGCATGCTGGTCTTCTCCATAAGCTTGTTTCTTATGGTGTATCTGGGAAAGTTTTTGAGATAATCAAATTGTTTCTTTCTAACTGCTTTATTTCAGTCAACCTCGAAGGCCAACACTTTTCTTTATTTCCAGTAACTTTTGGGGTACCTCAAGGTTCTATTCTTGGTCTTGTTTTGTTTCTTATCTGCATTAATGGTCTTTCAACCATTAATCCTGACAAACCTTACATCTGAAGTAGCTCTTTTTGGTGATGACTCAACTTTATACTCCTGTCTTGATAAAAAGTCTTCTCTTTTTGATCGCTGATATTGAATCTGGTCTTACTTCTTAACAGATTGGGGCTCACAGTGGCTTGTGAGTTTTAACTCCAACAAAACTCAGTTATTTATTGCAAACAACTATTGTAGTACTGTCGACAATCCTATATTAATGAATAGCAACCCCTTTCCCTGAGTTCTCTTCTTTACATCTTCTTGGATTATCGTTTACTACCGACCTTTCGTGGAAAGGTACATCTACGCCATATATACAATCATTTTCTAAATTAGCATCTGCTAAGGTTGCTTTGATCGTGCTTGCCATTTTCTCTCTCCTGATTCCATTCTCTACCTCTTATTAGTTTTAGTATGGAATACTGTTGTCATAATTGGTCTGGTTCTTCTAATAATCCTCTTTTTCTTCTAGACAAGGTTTAGAAATACATTGTAAACATAGTCGGACCCTGTCTATTTGTTAAGCTTGAGCCTCTTTCCTATCATCAGAAAATTGCATCTGTTTCTCGAAGAAAAAAAAGAAAGAAGCTCCCATAGTTGCTTTTCAATCATCATCATCATCATCATCATCATCATCATCATCATCATCATCATCATCATCATCATCATCATCATCATCATCATCATCATCATCATCATCATCATCATCATCATACTCACAACTAAAACAAAAAAATGAGGTCGGCAATATTTTGCCGAGCTCAATATTTTTGAGTTCGGCAAAAATTATTTGATACAAAAGTCTGACCTTAAAATATAGAAACAAGGTCGGCAATTTTTTGCTGACCCCAAATACTTTTAGGTCGGCAGTTAGGTCAGCATTGCTAAATGCCGACCCTGATTCCAAGGGTTGTACTCATTATCATCATTCTCATTTTTGCTGTTATTTTAATTTGGTTTACAAATAAAAATCTCAACAATCTCAGTCATTTTTACAGTTATTAACTTTTATTTATTTTTTTACTCAAGGAAAGTATTATTCAGTTGCTAAGTGAAGATGGTGTCATATGGTTTTACTTATCACAAAAAGATGACATTGCAAAAAGTTATTCAATGCAGTGTCTTGGAAACATGTGTATTAGGTATTGTTTTAGCTAAAAATATTACTATATATTTTTTTGTTTTTAAAGAAAATATTATGGAAACTATTGAAAGTGTATTAGGTAAGCATGAGCATTATTTACTACTACTAATAATAAAATAAAATAAATTAAAAAACACAAAGTAAAAATTTTTTATTAAAACTTTTTTTTGAATCAAGTTTTTGTATATTGACATTTATTTATTTATATTTTCAGAGCAAGCAATGGTGAGACTATTGATAAATGTTATTTGCATCTTTGTTATGCCAAAGTTTTAGACTACATTCGTCTAATATTAATTGATAATTTGAATGATCTACACCATTTAAAGGTAACAGTATAATGTTATTTGACAAACCTTTTTGTTGATATTGGTTACTCAGTTCTGAAAGCATTATGAAATATGTAGAAGAATTATTAGGTTACTTTAATTTTTACTTACTTTACTCCTAGTGTTCCCCAACAAATATTTATTCATATCAAGAAGTTGTAAACAGTTTGTAATAACATTAAAATAGTTATACTTTAACCTTTAGAAAGGTTAAAAGACACCAAATATCACAAATATTTATATATGTTTGGTAGCAATCAAATCATCAATCCATTTTCTTGCTCTTTCAACATTTTGAAATTGTGTACTTTCCAAATCATGCTGCATTAATCTGAACAAGTGATGATTAGAAGGTTTGGTGAATACGCTGGGTGCAGCAGAACTTCCTATTTTAGCCGCAGTATTATATACTTCACATCTTTTGCAAGAGAGGATGGCTTTTCATTTGTTACTTGCAATGTATTGCTGGACTTTTTTTGCAACAATATGTTGCTTAGTTTATTCAATTGATGTTTGTAAGCATCATTTGGTTTTAGCAGCTTGTAATCACTATGCCTTCCTGATCCCACCATATGCACAACAAAACTTGTGCTTGGGATTGTCATAGTAAACCCCCACTTCATCATCTGTCACAATATACCACAAAAAACATTTTTGCCTGGCAAGCGATGAAACATTTCTTCAAAAGTAATGAGTGTCAAATTTACAATTTAGATCGTTTCATGACTAGGGTCTGTACAAACTGAATAACTCAATAACACAAAATGTATAACTGTCTAAATAACAATCAAAAAGTCATATTTATGTGGACAAAACCATTGTTATTTGCATTGATACTTTGTAGTTTTTGAAAAAAGATATAAATTATCAAAATTATTTTAAGGGCCTAATAGTAGTTTTAGTTTTTATTGCTTTTGAAAGTCACAAAAATAATAAATGTATTGTTTACATAAAACTCTTTCTCTTAGTGTTTTGACATTTTTTGGTGGATTTTCAAGGTGACAAAACAGTTTTTCACGCAGATATTTATTAATTCTGTAAAAAAGCTTTTTAAGTAAAATTTGTTTTTTTACCTTAAAACTTTTTGGCTCAAAATCTTTTTGAGTATGTGCAGTAAACATTAATTTTTTTTTTAACAAATACATATTAATTTAAGTAGTATGCATCACTTCTATTTATTATATTTAATTGTCATGTTAAAAGTAAATTAATTATTAGCTATTATGACATGCTTAAATTATTATGAAACATGTATAAGTTATGATTTTTTAATTTAAAAATACTTAGTATTTTTAAAATAATTTTTTTTTAAACACACTTAACATTGAAAAAAATATTGGATGTTAATTAATTAATGTCACTATCTTTCTAGATTACAATAACAGCCTTAAAAGCCTTGTTAAAGAATTTGGAAAGCATTACTGTTAATGATGGCATTGTTGAAGCTGAGTATGCTGTTTCTTTGGCTAAGGTTTTTATTTTAGCTCTTTTTTGTTTATTTTTATTAATACAAAAAATCTACAAGTCTTGAAAATAGTTTTTTTAAATAATTGAAAAAACTTGAGACTAGCTCAAAGTGTCTCAGACTATAAAAAAACACTCTCATAGACTATTATATGTGAATGTTTTCAAATAATATGTAGTGAAGCTCCAAAGATGAAGTGAAGCTTTAAATAAAGTTTCTTTGAAGCTTCTGCAGGTGGCAGCTGTTACTATTTAGTATGACATAATCATTGTTGCCTTATGCATAGCTGATTCCAAAAAGCATTATATATAGATTTATCAGATGTTTCATTAGGTAACATGGATTTTTATATGTGGCAAACTAGAATTAGAAAAGGCTTTAAAATTGTTAGTTTTTGAATTGAAAATATTTGAAAGGGAGCAGGAAAAAAAGTTTTATATGGTTTACAATTATACAAAGATATTATATACAATTTACATATTGTTTTATATTACGCTTAGTGTAATTTATATTTTTAGTGCAATTTAAGTTATGTAAATATTTTATACAAAAGCTGACTTATCAAATTGAGGCAATATGTTAATGCATTATTATATACCATGTGTTTTATGAATTATTAAACCGTTTTTAAAGTTGTTTTCAAATGACTTATTTTAATTCCTACCTGAACTTTTCAAAGCAGGTTTCAAAATCAGAGTTATATCCATTAAGGTATTTTTTTTAAAAATTAATATGAATCTCTAGACCCAGGTTGATACACTTTTAGGAAAGCAATTTTTACTGATATTTAAGAATTGATTTGAAATTTTCATTGATATTACAACCCTCAGAATTAGGGTCATTTCTATGTTTTATGGTAAGACCTTTGTATCAATTTTTTTTTGCCAACCTGATGCTGACCTTTAAAAGATTAAGGTCGGCAACTTATTGCCAACCTCATTTTTACTAATTCCTAGGGTTGATAACAGCATATATCAAGTGTATAGTTCTATACTAATATTCAAATTTATATGCACATACTCTTATCAAAATGAACGTCAATCAAATGTTAATCTTTAAGATTTTAGCACAAAAACCTTAAAAGTATATTCAAAAGAAAGAAGAAATGAAACTTTAACAAGTGATGTTCATCATGTTTTATTGTTCAAGTTTAGTGACGCTTTTCCTATTGTTCAAGTTTAGTGATACTTCTTTTAACCATGGCTTTTAAAAACCATAAATTATATTCTTAAAATAGTTTCAATATTTGTAAAACAATGTTCCATGATATTTTTTTTATTAAAATGTTTTAGATGTTTTTTTTTTAAATATTTTTTAGATTTTTTTATTATTTGGAGCATCTGATTTCAACTTAATTGTGGAAAAAATGTTACGGGTGTTGCCAACAAGAAATTCAGGTAATTGTATTCTTTTTTTTCAGTTCTTTTCTTTTTCAATTATTTTTTAGTGTTTTTTAAATAGATCTTTAATTTTTTAGTTTTTTTTTAATAAATCTTTGATCTTTTAGATATTTTTTTTTAAATAAATTTTCGATTATTATTTTTATTATAATCTTCATTATAATTACAATATTCACCTTTTTTATAGATGACATTACTCTAGTAGAAAAAATATATCCTACAAAGCGAAAAGAAAAATCTCCAATGACAAAGAAAATTAACGCTAAAAAATTACGAAAAAAAAAGAAAAAGTCTACTCAAGCAAATGCAGAAGATTTTGATATTGTCGATGATAGTTTTGGATTATCAGTTCATAAAAATTGGCGTCAACCTGTTGTTTTTTCTAGTTCAGAATCAGATTATTCTGATTCAGAATTTTCTCGGAATGAGATGTCGAGGTATTATTATTAGTTAATAGTAATAGCTATTAATTTTAATTTAAAAAATTAAACAGATATGAATTAAGTTTTTACATTATTGTGTAATGATAAAAAATAATAGTAAAATAATATGTATAGTAATAGTAAATATAAATAAAAATGTCAATATAAATAAAAAAAGAAGAAGTCAAAATGTTCAATTATAGAACATTTTTTACTTAAGTGGAAGTTGCATTTACAAAAAAATAATTTTCTTTTGTTGTAAATATGTGTTTTTCATTGGTATATTTATACTAGTATTCAATAGGTTGACCCTTAAGTACATTGAAAAAATAGTTGTTAAGCGTTATGTTTGTTTGAACTTTGCAAATACCTTAAGCAATGTTAAATCTAAACCTTGCTAATAGTTCCATTTTATAAATAGTTGTGCGGAAAGTTTGGTAACAAAATTTTAATAATTAGGGGGTGGCTTATAGCCTTCAAAGTTTACCTAATACAGTTGTCGACTTGCCTATAAAAACATGCAATTAAACATAAAATTTATGTTATATTTGTTTATTTTATTTACAAATGCAAAAGTTTAATTTACAAAAACAATATTTATAAATACAATTATTATTTTTTTAAATTTATGAATACAAAGTTTGCATTAATTTTGTATTTGAAAATTAAAAAATTTTAATTACATAGTATATTAGATATTTAAAACCACCAATTAAATTTATTTCCTCTCTCTCTTGCTGTGAATGAATCTCACTCTGCCCCTTAAATGCCTTTGTTGCTTATTCAAATTAAATCCAAAATATTGCAACAAAAGTACTTTTAACTAACACTTTTCGACCAAAATTGGCCAAGTTTCTTTTTTAAAAGCTAACAAGCGAAAACTTTTTCATTTAAAAGCTATTGATTTAAATACATTTTTTTACTTACTGCAGACGATGTTTTAAAGTGCTAAATATCATATTTAATGCAATTTTAAATAGCTATAAATATATTTAAAATTTACACATGAAAGTCTTTTTAATGATAAAAATTATAAAATCAGATGAACAAAAATAAGATGTAAAATACCATGTAGAAAAATTCAAAAAATATTTTTCGTGTGTTTAAGAATTTTTAGTTTAAAAATAATAAAGTATTTAAAAACTTAAATATTTAAAAACATTCCATACAATATATAGTGTTTTTATAGACAGTCGTCAATTAAAAAGTTGTTTCAGCTATTTTAAAAGTTACAAGAGGATCATGGAAACCATAAAAAATTTTACATTTATTATTAAAAAATTAAAATAAATATAAGAAGTAAATAAATGTAAATAATCGTTTAAACTTTTTAAAAATGTATTTTAAGGAGATGTATGCAATTAAATAGATCAAATCATCAAATTCCTTCATTCAAATTTCAGTTGCAAACAATTTTCTTTGTTCTTGTTTTCTCTCTACTATATCACACAAAGAAAAGGATCTATTTAAATATTTAAAAAAATAAAACAAGTTCAATAATTAGAATTTAACATTTACAAAATATAAAAATATTTTTGCTATGAATATAACCCACCAAAAAAAAGTCATTTCAAAGATATTTATGTATCTAAAAAATGATTTTTTTTTACTTATGTAGAATCTTAATTTGCCTAAACTTTTTTTAACTGTCAGAATTAATGTTTTAAATAATCAGATATCCCAATATCCGATTATCCGATTATTCGAATAATCCAACTAAATTTGACTGTTCAAAAATCTGTATCATTTTCATGGAATATCTGTCAAAACAATAATCATAACGAGTCATTAAATAATAATCATAAAATGGAAATGTTATTATTATAGTTATTTAAGATAATAAACTTTAAAAAAATTCCATTATATTTACCGAAAGTAAAAATAAGTTTTATTTTATTAAATGTTACTTTAATCAATTGTGCAACCACAATCTACTAAAACATTAGCAAGGCGTTAAATACAAATAATTTTGAAGATGCAAACATTATCTGCGAGCTAGAAGAACACATAAATCATATATCTTATCAAAGATTTTCGAGAAGTTATAAAAAACTTATGAAAATGATATTATTCTATTCGGTCAAAAACAATTTTTTACTAGTATATGGTAATGAACAAGCGAGCTAGGGATAGCAGTAGATGTTAGATGTCAAAACTCACTGGAATTCACTTATAATCATGCTCAAACAGTTCTTTCAAATAAAGGATCCTATAAAAATTTTTTGAATGAAATAGGCCAATAAAAGATTTAAGAGGAGAAAATATCAACTTTGAATGAACTATTAGATTTCTTATTATCTATAGAAGCTGCAATAAAAGGAGTTAATTTTGCAATGCTTTTGACCACTAAAAACTATTAAAGTTTGAAAGCTTAAATTAGTTACAAATGAGTTTAAGTAATTATTTATCAAATAAATAAAAGAAGCAAATGGATGAAAGTTGAAATAAAATCCTTATGACATTAATAATCTTCATAGAAACAATTCTCAATATTCAACTAAATATTTTGAATATGCTTCGAAATCTGCCGCTATTGCTTTGGTAGTGGAAATATTTAATAGGATTTATAATCTAGTGGTGACAGTAGCAAGTTAAATTAATAATAATAAATTAAAAGTGATGATTTCCTCGATTACCCATTTTAAAGAGCAGAGCAACATAATTATTACATTGTTGATATAAGATTTTTTGGTTTTAACGAACACAAAAACATTTATAAATAATTTAAATATATTGTTTAATGCACTGCTAATAATAAAATCAATATTTACTGCAACAAAGTGTGTTTTTTTGATTGTAAATCTAAGTAAGACACAAATTAGTACTAGCTTAAATTTTCAAACTTTTAATGCAATTATTTTTTCGCAATATTCATTTTTAAAAATGAAATAGATTTAAATAATATAGTTGTTTATTATTTTATGAATTTTCGATGAAAGTAATTAAAATGCTAAAATTAAATTGAACTATTGCGTTAAAAATGCCATGAGTATTGAATTCAATCTATCATTTTGTTATTTATTATCCAGATTCCGGATTCAGAGATCTGGATTCCAGATATATCTGAATAATTTGAATTTTCAGTATTTGATATCCAGATAGTCATTAATGCCGATACCTAGTCAGAATGCAATGATTTATTTTTAGCTTTTTTATTCGCCGTACCTAAATTTGCTAACTAAAATTAATGTTATGTAAATTTTTTTCCTGGATAACACCCTGGCTACTGCTCTCCAATACAGTTTTCTCTAGTAAGATATCTTTGCCAAGTTTAGATCGGTGAAATTTCTTTTAAAATTTTTTTGTATTTCGAAGTTTGTTTCTGTTGTTGTTGCACCAGCATTGTCAGAGATTCCAGAAACATCATGCCTTCTTGATCATCTATAAGCTAAATGGTGCTTTTGTAAGTTTTGATAAACTTTTTGTAACTTTTGATAATGTATCATTTAGCATACATTAGGTGTAATCTTGCATAAAAATACTCCACTAAATAAGTAATATTAGAATATAATGAAGCAATGTATATTTTAGAGTAAAGTACAGTTTTTAAAGTTTTATTCAGAGCTTTATATCAGAGTATAACAAACGAATGTATATTTTAAAGTACAGTATAGTTTTTAAAGTTTTATTTATAATTTATTCTTTATTTTTTATGGAATGGCACAGTTATTCATCATTTTAAAAAATTTTAATGGTGTATTTAAGGATAAAGCATTTAGATTGCATTTAAAGGTTGTGGATCTTTATTTATAGTATAAATATAGTATATAAAATATATATTAATTATATATTAATTTTATTTAGTTTATTTTTTATAGTATATTAATTTTATTTAGTTTATTTGCAACAAAGGTTCAAGTTCTTACAGCTTCAATTATACAAAATATTCTTAGAGTGAGTTTTTTTCATTTTATTATGATTTCATTGTTTTGATTTCTCACAATGATGTTGTGGGTAAAAATTTCTCAAAAAACAAGGGGTACCGCCGCCCAAGTTTCTTTCTTAGAATAGGCCCTGTATGTATATATATATATAATGTATTATTAAATTATGTAATATTATATTTTATGTTGCAGTGTTGTGATAAACGCTCAAAGTTTTCCTGCTGGCTTTCACTTGTTCCTGATATAATATCATCGTCCCAGCCATCACTGTTGTATTTACTCGCTATGGGACATCATCCAAAGGTATTTATTTGTTTTATAATTATTTGCAATGGAGAATAATTGATAATTCCACAAACAATATTTTTTAATATAATAGATTAATCTATTTACTCAATTTTTTAATATATTAACAAATGTAAATATTAAAAACCCTGGGGGAAGAAATTTTTTTTATAATTAACTTTAAAATTAATTATATATAAGTATAAAATTATATATAAAAATTAAAATTAATGTATATAAGTTAGTGTTTCTTTGCAGCAACGACTGTCTTACATCAAATCAGTACATCAAATTAAGTTTCATTATGCCACATTGATACATGGTATATATGTAAAAAAAATCGGAACTGCATTGCAGTAATTGAAATGAAAACTTTTTTATTTCATTTTACCTTTGTTTTTTCATTCCATTTTACTTTTAGTTTTTCATTTCATTTTACTTTAATTTTTTCATATCATTTAATAATTTCTTTATATTTTTTAAAAGTTTAAAAATAATTTTAAATTCAAAAAAAAAAATTTAAATTTTACTTGTAAGAAGTTGTTTTATACTAAAAAAGGTTTTTGTTGGTAGCTTTTTTTGTTGATTAGTTGTAGACAGAAAATAAAATCGCATGCTATTTTTGACAACCCATTAATATTTTTTTGGCGAAAACTTGACCACTGCTTTTTAGATTTTTAAAATTGTTACAAAAGTGCGCTGTAATAAAATTAAAAAATATAAATAAGGTAATAAAGTGAGAAATTGTTTTAATTGTGTACTATAAAAAACATTTTATTTAAATTATTGAAAGATATTATATAGTTAAAAGGTTTATATTTTAAAATGAATGAATGTAAATGTTTTTAAAACAGTTTGGACAGTTAGTTTTATAAACAGCACTAAAAACAATTTGCATGCAAAAAAAAAAAAACTCTTACAAAGAGGGTTAAGCAAGTGGGTCCTGGATTTTTGATGTTTAAGATAGATAACTTTTGGAGTTATTGCAAACTTGAAAGATTTCCAGTCAATGTCAAGCAAATAACATCATGGAAATCTAAACATCACAAGTGATGAATTATGGACCTTAAACTTAAAAAAACTGCTACTAGAAATAATAACTTACTGCTGTCAAGTTGAGTTAATATTGTCATTTTCAATTTTTTTTTCAACAAAAATGAAATTTAAAACTTATAAGCTCTAGTTCATAATAAATCAAGATTCACATTGTTTGCTGAGAAAGTGTTAAATGTTGTGTGAATAGAATATTGGTAAACAAAAATTCTAGTGTATTTTAAAATGCGGTAGTGGTGTAGTGGTAAGAGCGCTCGCTTTGTAAGCGAGAGGTTCTGAGTTCGACTCCCACCACGTCCCTGGAAGTACCGCGCTCAACTTAATTTCTCCGCGCAGCGGTCTTGCTTGTCAAGGTTCGTGTTTCGGAGTTAAAGAGTTGAGAGAGGGTTGTACCACAATTTACAAGAAAAAAAAAAAAAAAAAAAAAACGAGTAGCCTCCTCGACTGTAGTGGCCCCCTCGGACCTTGAGGAGGTGAATAATTTAAAAAAAAAAAAAAAAAAAAAAAAAAATAGCTTTCGGCAGAAGTATTTAAAAATAACAAAAAGGAAACATAAATTATTGTACTTCAATCATTTATTTTAAATTCTATTTGATAATTTAAAATAAATGGTTTTAAATAAAATAAATTATATTCAGGAGTTTGGAGAGAGTAATTATGTTTAGGAATTTAGAGATTTATCTTAATGACAAAGCTACTTAGCAGGAATCTCCTAAAATATCTTAGAAATACTTGGTAGCTTTTAATGTATTAATAGTTAAAAATACATTTTGAGAAACTTAAGGCAGGTTTTTATATTTTTTATCTTATCCACAAGTTATTGAATTCCAATCAGAGAAATTTATATTTAATGATATTTTCTGTCATGTTAGACAAAATGCAAGATTGCGTGCCATAATATGGCATATGGTATGCAAGATTAGTTATAATCAGGTTGTTCAAAATTATGGTTTGATATTAAATTCTTTAATTCATCATGTTTAGTTTTTAGATTACAAGTTAAATTTGTAAAATTATTAATAATAAAGAAATATAAGAAATTTTCAACTATTTAATAAAATTAAATTTGTAAAATTATTAATAATAAAGAAATCTAAGAAATTTTCAACTATCTAATAAAATTGTAGATCTACCATTTTTTTCAAAATAGATTAAATCAACTTGAATTTATGTTAAACTTTTTGAGGAACAAAAATATTTATAAATTTATATGAATCATTTAAAATTTGAAAATTAAATACAGTAACCTATTTTGCAACCTGGAAGTGCCTCTTAATTATGTGCAATGTGGATGCAATTCTTAATTATGTTGAACCGCAGTGTGCCTCTAAAATCATGTTGAACTGGCTAGAACAGCCTGGTCTAAAACAAGTATGCCATTTGGAGCCTGTTTTCTGAAAAAGGCAATTCACCCTTTATTTAAATTTTATAATTTTTTTAGAATTGGCGGCTTAAGGCATAAGTTACTAGCTGCAAATATAAACAGCACTTCTTTAAAGGTTAATAATGTTCATGCTACATGTGACCTCTGCTGAAAAATTTGCTGCTGTAAAAACTATATTTACTATGCTCAAATAACATTAATATTGAAAATAGTAAAACCAATTAGCATTTTGTTTTATCGAGTAACAAAGTAATAACATTCTCCTAATGAAAGCACTATAAAATTTTTCACTATAAAAATAGTCCATCCTGGTCTGCAAAACAGGTTAATGTCAGACATCTTTTTCTGAAAAATTGTTTCAACTCTTCGATTATGTCATAGTTAAGTAAGCAAATAACATTATAGAAACCTAGTGATGAATTATGAAAAAAATTAATTACCTTAAACTTAAAAAACTGCTACTAGAAAAATGTCTATAATTATAATTTTTAGGAATAACAGGCTCTAAACGATCATTGGCTTTCTGAAAAGTTTTACTATTTTTAATATTTAAGTTGATAAAACTGTTTAAAAAAAATTTCTTAGTAAGGATTTGGTGTTAAGCATTTTATTGCATGATGGTCTCACCCACAGAGTACACCAAAATCTTTGAGCATAGCATGCATTTTGATTCCACATATATATTATATGAGTTTCTTATCCTCTAAACTGTATACACTATAAGTGCTGAAGTTTGTAAATTTTACATATGCTTTAGAGTTTGCAGTACACAGCATCATTCATTATTTTGAAAAACAAAGTTAATGTTTTTACATTATTAGTTTTTTAAATTTACAAAAACTAAATATGGTTATGAAAATTAAATATGGTCATTTGAATGGTTTTTAATCAATTTACTAGTAGTATAAGTAATAGCATAACAATTTTACACAGTATATAAAAACTAATAGCGAAAAATATTTTATGTTGGTTTTATATTTTTTTTATCACAAGTTTTCCATATAGTTTTACCTGGTCTTTTGGGACCACAGACCTAAAGTAAAAGCAGAGACTTCATACTCTGACTTTTGCCCTTTAAACTTTAGTTAAATACAATGCAGTGTTTATTCTAGAGTTATTATATTTTTGCTTTTAAGGTACGAACATCCATTCTTCTTGCACTTATGGAATTGATTGATGGATCAAGAGGTTTTTTAGAATCAGCAGTTAGTAACACAAGGTTAATTCAAATTTTTACTATTTTTTCTGAGATTAAAAAATAGTTTTTTGAAACTACAAAAATGTTATGTTTTAGGTCTTCCTCTTACCCATTTACATCTTTTTCTGTAAAATTGAGCCAGTCCCTTCATTTGCTACATGAAACACTTTTAACAGTGTTAGAGCAAGACAGAACAGATGCAGGGAAAGATAAAATTGTCAAGGTAAGGTTTTACATAAAGATAAACTTATATATTGAAATACTTTACATTGAAGGAAATACCCAAATACTCTGGCATGTTTTGTAGATAAGAAAAGCATTTAGCATAAATTATCTTATAACAAAAGTCAATTTTTTGATTTTGTGAGTGAAAGTCATTTTTAATAAACCCTTATTTCATTATGTTCTACCAAAATAATGTTTTATAAAATTTTATTACTTTAAGAATATTTAAATACCTATAAAATAGAAATACAATAGAAATTATTTAAAATTTAATGATGAAATAAAATTAATTTTAAAAAGCATAAAGAATTAAATAATAAAATTAAAGAGCATGTTATTAATATAGTCTATTTATTAAAAAATAAACAAACAATAAAGAAAACTTTATAAAAATATGAAAACTTTTTATATAAAAAGCATTATGAGCCAATGTGATAAATTTTGTAAATAAGTAAACAGCGTATTAATAGTAAATATACCGCATACCTATAAAGAAATATACTTTACAACATATTTCTGCGAATGGAATTTTAGAATTACGTTATTAAAATAAATTGATGTCGGATAAAAACATCATATGATTGCTTTTTTGATATTTTTTACAATTCTGAGTTCTGTGAAGGTCATTTGTCAAACACATGAACATGTCTTTTTGATAATTAACTAAAATCGTAGTGTTTTAAAGTATAAAAATTTTTTCTGATTCAGCAGTTATTATTTTAATTTATCTCCGAAAGTCAAAAAATATTTTCCTGTCTTTCTTAGCAACAATTTTCTTTTTGTTATATTTAATGCAGGTAATCTGTGGTGCTTGAATTAGGCTGTGCAATGAAAGGCCACAGAGAAAAATATTAAATATTTCTATTTAAAAAACTTTTAACAAAGAAGGATAATTAATAAAAACAAAGAAAAAAGTACAGAGGTTCAGTATAATCACATATTTATTTATAAAAAGAAAAAAATAGCTTATACACAAATCATAGTCAACAGTATATTTATAGTTAAAGCATACCTAAAACGAAATAGGACACATGAGTAACCTTAAGCCTTAAATATTTTCAAATTTTTTAAAAAAAATCTAATTCAACAGTTATTTTTTTAACAGTTCTAATTCAACTGTTATTGTTTTACCTTCTTTGTGGAAGTCAAAATCCCAATATTTTTCCTGTCTTTCTTAGCAACAATTTTCTTTGTCTTTTGTACAATTGAATAGCCTGAATCATCAACATTGTAGATGCAGAGCAAGAATCTTTCACATTCCACCAATGTTGATTCTAGCATATAATAAAATTTTGAATCTTTGCCTGATTAAATCCTTCAGCTTGATGTTTTAAAAGACTATCTGACTTCTGCCTAAATTGTGCAATTCAAGGTGAAATCTTCAAAAATAATTCTCTAAATTTAAGCAACAATTTAAGCTAAGTACAACAGTTTTTAACAAGTATAAATTGTTTTAAGAACAAAACTGCATAGGAAATTTTGGAAATTAAAAAAAAAATTTCATAGTTAAATTGAGGTTAACAATTTAATATTAAACTTATGAAAAACAATACAAATGTAAAAATTTTTTTTTTCCGGATTTTTTTGTTTGAATTTGCTAATTGTTGTTTTGATATACTTCTTCTTCTTGTTTGTTTATGAAAATGTTTGATTGTTAATATTAAGTTTAGTTCAAGTTCATTTAAAATTGCTGTGTTTAACCAAATATTTTTGGTATTATTTAATATTGATGTGTTTCTCATATATTTAAAAATACATTTTGTAAAAAATATATATATTTTGTAAAATAATATAATAATATAAAATGTAATAAATATTTATATATATATATTGTAGTGTTTAACTCTACTTATGCTGAATGCACCATACAAAAAATTAGGCAACGACTATCTTCCAAACATTATTAAAGCTGTTCATGTTTATCTCCAATCAAAAGGTTTGTCTTTTTTTAGTTATTTGGCTTGTTTATTTAATTTTCTTGTACTTTTGTTATTTTTAGAATATATATATATATATATATATATATATATATATATATATATATATATATTATATATATATATATATATATATATATATATATATATATACATATATATATATATGTATATATATAATAATTAATTAATCTTATTTTATTGTTTAATTAATTAAACAATAATAAAATAAGAACTTCAATCATTCATGAAAAAAAAAGGTTAAATAAGAACTTCAAATCATTCATGAAAAGCAAAAAAAAAAAGAAGAGATATAGTTTATTTCATAAATTATGTGTAATCCTCTCTTCCTAATTAAGGTCCAATTTTTCAACTTTTAGTTTTATCTTTTTTTTAAAATAATAGTTATTTTTGAAATTTTTATATAATTTCGCTTCATTTGAGTACCAGGTTGACCTATTTTTATAAAACTTTTTAAATATTAGGGACCCGTTAAAAATTCAAGGGTCTTGGGGGACCCCTTAAAATATTTTTTATTAAAAAAAATTTTAAACCTAGTGTTATTTTATTATTTTGCACACATTTAGAGGTTGTGTCTAGTTTTTTGAAAATAAAGTTGAAAAAAACCCACCCATATATATATATATATATATATATATATATATATATATATATATATATATATATATATATATATATATATATATATATATATATATATATATATATATATATATATATATATATATATATATATATATATATATATATATATATATATATATATATATATATATATATATATATATATATATATACAAACATATATGCATATATAAATATATATACATATATATATATATATATATATATATATATATATATATATATATATATATATATATATATATATATACAAACATATATGCATATATAAATATATATACATATATATATATATATATATATATATATATGAATATGCATATATATATATATATATATATATATATATATATATATATATATATATATATATATATATATATATATATATGATTTACATTAAATTACTGTAAAATATGTATTAAACTATAATATATTATAATCTAATATCATTAATACGTCATATTATAAGTATAAATTTTGAGAACACATGTGTTATAACTTTTATCGATGCAATGAAAACTCTATATAATTAATAAATAAAACTCTATATAATTAATCTATATATTTCACGCAAAAATAATACTGTTTACAATATAGTAAAAAAAAATACTATTTTTGTGAAAAAACAATACAAAAAGTAAAAAACAAATTCCAAGCAGAGACTATAAAAAAAATTTATGTTAAGAAACAATTCAAATTGAAAGTATTAGCCTCAGTAACCAAAAATAAAAGTTGTTTTAGAGCTCGTAATGCTTATAAAAAAATATTGTAAACATAAAACATAATTTGCAAAAAATTTAAACTAACATAATTCATAACATAATGGGTAATATAACGTTAAAACATATTATATATATTTTCCATAGACAAAAGATTATGTAAATAATTTTGGGGAACATATCGCTCAAGACAAATTTTTTACTACAAAAAGGTAAAAATAACACTAAATTTTTAACTAACCGTTATGTAACCATTATGTTAGTGTTATAATTTAATATATTTTACTCAATAAAATTAAAAAAAAACAACTTAAATCCAAACAGTATATATATAATAAAATAATATAAAACAATTTAATTTATATAAAAAAAAACATTCTAATTTATATATATATATATATATATATATATATATATATATATATATATATATATATATATATATATATATATATATATATATATATATATATATATATATATATATAAAGATTCAAGTCAATAAAGTTGCGTTTTTGAGTTAATTTAAAAAAAAGTTAAATTTAATTAGTTTCCACAATTAATTATATAGTTTAAGTGATTTTACTTTTGTCAACTTAAAACATAAAAACAATATAAGAACCATTTTTTATCATCAGCAGTAAACCTATCTACACAATATAGAATTTACGATCTATATTATATATAGAGAACTTAAGTTTTCCATTAGCTTTTCAATTTTCCACAATTCCATTAGTTTCCACAAAATTATGACATAAAAACTATTTCAACTACCTTTATATCATTCATAACATAAATTTTTCTTTATTTTTCAGTTAAGAAATATTACTCTAAAATATATATTGTGCAAATATCACAGTTTTCACTTGTGACTAGTCTTATGTATTAATCTTATAACATAGTTTTTTATATTCATTTCATTTTTATTTTTCTATAGATAGCAGTCTTTGTCAAACAACTTTAACATGTATTGCTGCTTGCATATCAGTTCAGCCCACTAATGAGTGTGTTTTAGATATGCTTCACAAAAGTGTTTTGCCTCAAAAGTTCCAATTAAATAAGAATATAAATTGTCTTGAAATGGAAGAAGATTCTTCATGGTTGGTTATATTCTGCTTACAAACTTTAATGGCTGCATTGAATGGTAAGTTTTTGATATTTCTGCAAATTTCTACACAAACTCAATGTATGTATGTATGTATGTATGTATGTATGTATGTATGTATGTATGTATGTATGTATGTATGTATGTATGTATGTATGTATGTATGTATGTATGTATGTATGTATGTATGTATGTATGTATGTATGTATGTATGTATATATGTATGTATGTATGTATGTATGTATGTATGTATGTATGTATGTATGTATGTATGCATGCATGCATGTATGTATGTATGTATGTATGTATGTATGTATGTATGTATGTATGTATGTATGTATGTATGTATGTATGTATGTATGTATGTATGTATGTATGTATGTATGTATGTATGTATGTATGTATGTATGTATGTATGTATGTATATATGTATGTATGTATGGATGCATGTATGTATGTGTGCATGTATGTATGTATGTATGTATGTATGTATGTATGTATGTATGTATGTATGTATGTATGTATGTATGTATGTATGTATGTATGTATGTATTAGGGTGGTCCTTGTTTATAAATTTTTTTTTTTTTTCAGTTTTCTGATGGGGCACCCTCTCAAATGGTCAACTATTAAGAAAAAATGATTGTACTGAAAATTTTATTTGAATAAAACATAATTTAGTTCGTATCAATAAAAGTGCCCGCCGAAGACTTATTTGCTCAGCACAATATGAATGATCAGGACAAATTTAAACTGTCACAGAGAATAGCATTGCTTTATTGAAGCACATTAAAATACTGTTACATATTGTAATTATTATTGTCCTTCTACGTCGAGACTGTCAAAGTGATAAAAACCGTCTAAGTAGTCCATTGCTAGGGTATTCTTCGCTCGATCAAGAAATCACTGGCGGTACTTCTTTACAATTAAGAGAAGGAACTGTTTCTGCTCCTCATCGTTTGTGTGCAACTTGTTGTATTTGTCAATTAAGGTAACTTCACGTTCTGCAATGTCATTCACAACTCTCATACTGCTGACAATGTTCTTCGCCAACTGATAGTCAGCATCTGCAGACCAGAGCTTCACATCATTGTTGAGGAAAGTTGACGGTAGACCAGTGATGGTGAAGAATCTATGACTGCTCTCGGTGACAAAGTCTTGCAAGTTCTTGGAGCTTACCAGCGAAGGATCAACAGTTATCCTCTTCAAAGGGTGGTCTGCACTCGGTGCTTGCAAGGCACTGACCATCAGACGTTTTGTATCATCAGAGACTTCATCGTCAAAGAAAGCCAGTGCAATCAGTTCTTCTGACAAGTACCACAAATGTCCTAAAAATTTTTTCATTGTGATCTCAGAGACTGCTCGATTCTGTGCCTTGTATTTGTCGATCTCCTTGATGAGCTCGAGATCAACACGAGGCGAAGATGGTGCCGACGGTGCTCTAAACCAGGCCTTTACATACAGAGTCACTGTGAAAAGACACACGTCTGCTGTTTCATTCTCTCCTTTCTTTGTCATCTTGAAATCGCTTCTCAGCATCCATATTTTCAATGAATAAATAGCTTTGGCCATCCATCTGGCTCGATGAAGTCCTGCTGGTGCTTTGAATGAGCATCCTCGAGATGGAATGCCTCCCAGAAACATAATTGTCAGCTCTAGCAGTTCACGATAATCGTCACGAGGCTGAAACCAAGAGAGGGCCAAGAGAAAGAGTAACCGTTACCTCTAAGACTATTTTTAAAATGTGATGGCGACAAGCAAACCAGAGCAAATTTTTGTCAAGCTTCTGCTCCAGTAGGATGCAAGCACCATTTCTTGGACCACTATTAATGGCAGTAGTATCGAAGCACACGCACTTGACTTTATCAGTAATGCCCCACGCTACAGTTGCATCATAAACAGCTGTCGCTGAAGCTTCTCCAGTTTCAGATGGCAGCTTCGGTACACATAGAAGTTGGTCAACTCCTAGTCCAGACATGAGGATTTGGAGCCGGTCCACAATTTCTGTGCTACTGATATCTTCCAGTAATTTCCCATCCCAGTGTATTGCTAGTGGAACTGTTGGCTTGAATTCTGCTTTCAAGTTCTCTGCTATTCTTTGTCTACATTTCATCCTTTCTCTTCGAATGGACGATCGATTGATATTAAAATCTGCTGGGTCATAACCAAGGTGCTGCAGTGCTGGAGTCAGGACTAGTGCAGCATTTCTATCACTGACCTTTGCCATATCCAGACATACTGCTAACTTGTCATTCAGTATTTTTTGTGTACCACGTATACGTTTAACTCTCTTTGAAGTTGTGCTTGATGATGGCTCATCAAATGCTTCATCATCATTACCAGATTCTTGTTCGCTTTCGGATGTCTGAAGAATAGCTTTCTTCTTTCTGGCCACTCTGTCCTGTTCTTCTCTCTCCTTTCTCCTCTTGAAGTTTTCTTCTTTGTTGTGAACATCTCTTTCTCTTTTGGCCAAGGCTTTGTCAATACTTCCCATCTTACTACGTCGTCCCGCCTCACGCTGAGCTAACAGGAACTCCCTGTCCTCCTGAATGCTAATCATCTTCATGGCATCCGCATGAGCAATGTCAAAAAGACTCTCTAAGCCATCCTTCCATTCTTCTTCCTTCTTCAGTAGACTTTCAGAGCGCTTCGCTTTATTTTCCTTATTTTTCTTCAGTTTGTCATATTTAAGGAACATACATTCAACTTATTCAACAACATGTTTCTTCAATCGTGTTGGGATTTGAGCTTTAGCCCATACTTCAATAATGTCATTAGTTGTTGAATGTGATGCTTCACGAACAGTCTGTTTGGTGGCCTCTTTGTAATAGAAGAATAGTGCCATGACTTCTTTTTTTTGACTGTAACTTTGTAAAGTTGAGAATTTCAGACATTTGGCCTATCAGCCACAACTCAGTTTCTTGTCTTGTAGATGGTTTCGAAGTCCCACGGCAAGCATTGGCCATCTCCTTCAAAATAATAAATTGTACTTGTTACCATCCAATTTAATTATACAAATTAATTATAATTTCTACCAAAACTAACAGAACCCAGTAATCCAACTGACAATGTTTATGTTATGCAATAATGCAAACAATGCAAGCAAAAATAAACAAAGAAAACACTTACTTTTGTTCCAGTATCCACGAGGTCCGTTATTATGGAACTTTCCCTGAGAAAGTCAGTAGTCAATACTAGGCACTAATTCAGATTAATGAAATATTATTTTTAAATTGTGTGATTGTCAGTTAATGCCTGATTAAAAATGGCTGACAGCTGGTGAAATGCATTCTGGGAAACCTAACAATAAATAAGTAACATCAAATTGATAAAATATGCAGGCAGTATGGTGTGTATAGTGAAAGAGTTCACCGGCATAACAACTTGTGAAATGCAGCCACGGAACCCCGAATGATACTTAACTAGTATATGTGGTAGGGACCTCTAAATATTTTCAGATTTAGCTGAGTTTTTTTGTGAATTTTGTATGCATGCTTATAAACAAAATTCAGGGGTGCCCCATACAAAAATCATTCTTTAAAAATTAAGGACCACCCTAGTATGTATGTATGTATGTATGTATGTATGTATGTATGTATGTATGTATGTATGTATGTATGTATGTATGTATGTATGTATGTATGTATGCATATGTGTATGTATAAGAATTCATTAAGACATTAAAGTTAGCTAATAAATATAGCTATATGTTAGTAGCCATCTTTATAATGTGTAAATAATATATTATACATTTAAAAATGTTTACATTTTTTTCAGATAGTGCTCATGAAATACGTTTGGTGGCAGAATGTATCCAGTTATTGACAGTTATATTAAGATGCCATCCACAATTACTGAAGAAGTATGCATAGCATGAATGCTCATGTGCTTGTGAGATATTTTTGAAAACTGCAACTGTTGTAAATAATTTTTTTACAATATCAATATACAACTATTTTAGTTTTAAACTAATCTGGTGCACTATGCAGTTATTAGTATTTTCAATTTTTTTCATAATTTTAGATTAGTCTGATGCACTATGCAATTATTTGACTAATTTTATTCACTATGCAGTTATTAGTCTTTTCAATTTTTTTCACAATTTTAGACTAGTCTGATACACTATGTAGTTATTAGACTAATCTGATGCACTATGCAGTTATTAGTATTTTCTTTTTTTTCACAATTAAAGACTAGTCTGATGCAGTTATTAGACTAATCTGATGCACTATGCATTTATTAGACTAATCTGATGCACTATGCAGTTATTAGTATTTTAAATTTTTTTCACAATTTTAGACTAGTCTGATAATAGACTTGAAAATAACTTTTATTTATAATACCTTTTTGTTTATATATTTGTATAACCTATTTAAAGTTTATATTTAAAATTCCTTTTTGTTTATATATTTGAAGACCACACAGGTAAAACCATAGATGTCCACTATTTGAAAATTTCAAGTTTTATATATTTTTATGATATTTTAGTACTAATCTATTTTAATTTAAATTTTCATAACAAAAAAACTATGTTTTAAGGTTCTATCGTCATTTTAAAAAAAGAGCAACTTTGAAACAACAACTGTTGTCCTATGTTTACAGTGTAAAAAACACAGTTGTCCAAGTTATTTATAACTAAACCAGTAGTAATAAAATAGTTAATCACATGACTAACTTTTATCTTTAAGAAAAATACGTCGGATGAAGTAAACAACATTAAGTTAAAAGAAAAATATTTAAAAAAATATATATATATATATACATATATACAGTATTGGACAAAACATTTGCAACCAACATCGAACAATGCTTAAAAGTGTTCCTAATTTTACATGTTAAAAATGAAACGAACTTTACTACCACAGCAAACAGTTCAGGAGTCTGGAGTCATAGCATGCCATGACATGAGCAATCAGCTGACAGGTGACAGCTCACAGGCAGAATTTCGTTGACAAGTGCCATTTTGCAGTTGACAAAACAAGTGCAACTTTTTTGGTTTGTTTCATTTTCTTAAGTCTGGTTCGTGTCAACGTCACAGAAGTTTTTTAATAATTAAAGGAAGTATCCAGATGTTGTGTTCCACAGAGCATTATTGTATCATCACAAGGTAAATACAACACAGTAAGCCTTGAGAAGCGTGGTTATTTATTTTTATTATTTTGATGACTTCAAGTACAAAAATGGCTCCCGACAGTCTTGGATTGGAAGTAAAAAAGAAAATTATTGGTGATTACGTAAGTGCAATGTCACAAAAAAGTATTTGTGGTAAATATTGCGTGAAAAAATGGACCATATTAAGACTATGTTCCAAATATTATTCTATAAGAAAGTTGGCAGCAGATAAGGAAGGTGGAAGACCGCGTTCCACCACTTCTAGAGAGGATTCTATGATCGTCAGATTCGTCAAGAAGGATCCCTGGATATCATCAGTCGAGATAAAAAAGCAATTAGAGCTGCCTGTATCAGACCGAACAATCAGACGACGTGCTGTTTGTTTTCTCAACGCCCTGCAAAGAAACCGCTGATTTCATAAAAGAACCAGAAGAAAAGACTTCTGTTTGCTACATCTCATTTTGACTGGAATGTGCATAAATGGCGAACTGTCCTATTCAGTGATGAATCGAAGTTAAACATCATTGGGAGTGATGGCATTTGCCATGTAGGCCGACCGGTCAGAAAATGCCTCGATTTACTACTGCCATAAGACCGTGAAGCATGGTGGAGGCAATGTAATGGTCTGGGGGTATTTTTCTGCTAACGGTCTAGGTCCAATACATCGAATCGATGGAATAATGGATCGTTTTATGTATAAAAATATCCTGAAAGATGTTATGTTACCTTATGCTGAATGGAATATGCCAGTAAAATGGGTTTTTCAGCAAGACAACAATCCAAAACACTGCAAAAGTAGTCAAGCAGTGGTTTCAAGACAACCACCTAGCGGTTATGAGTTGGCTGCCTCAATCTCCGGGTCTCAACCCTATCGAGAGCCTGTGGGAGATCGTCAACTGCAGAAACTAAATTAGCATTATTTGGTTGCACTTGTTTTGTTTGATACTGTATATATATATATATATATATATATATATATATATATATATATATATATATATATATATATATATATATATATATATATATATATAATAAGTTTTTTTTTATGACAAAAATTATCTCTTGGATTATCTCAAGTTTTGTTTTAATTCCTAAGGTGTACCTTTTGTATCCTAACAAAGAATATTATTGGGTCTATTTTTTTAGGATACAAAAGGGACAATAAGGTGTACCTTTTGTATCCTAAAAAAATACACACAATCATATTCTGATTTTGATACTGCTAACTATATATTTTAAACGAAGAATGTTTTGGATGTATTGCTCCAATTCCATCAGAGAAAAGGTTAAATTTTTTAATAGAGGAAAAGAGTTACATGTCTTCCAAATCATCACGCTTTTAATTGTGAAATAATTTGCATGGATTTCCCAAAAAAAAAAAAGCTTAAACGTTTGAAACCAATATGTATACTATTCCAGGCAACAGCTGTTTTATTTTTTAAGCACTAATATACTTTCAACTCAAAAATTATATTTTTATTGCTATGATGAAACTGTTAGACACAGATTGTCTGATGTATGTTCTATGCTGCTTGATTTATGCTGCATGATTTTAGATTATCAATTATCTCAAATGTAAAGGATATTAAATTGATTTGCAACTTATGTCCTAGGCAAAATATAAAATAAAAAGTTTAGTTTGATTTAATTATCTAGTTCATAAAACTGAAAAACTTGACAGCATTACTGTTTCATTACCAATTAAAACTATGTCACAGTCTTTCATATAATTTTTATTTGAATTATTTTTTATGAAAAGAAGGAGGAGATGGGGGGCGGCTTTATTATCCTATCATACCCTTAGCACGTTGTGGTTGTATAATACAATGTGTTACCATCTAGCTTTAAAAAAATATGTGCTTGAAAAGGTTATAAGCTAACGTGGTTTATGAGTTGATAAATTTACAACGGAAAAATCACAGATGTCCAAAATAAGTGTCTTGTTTTCAAAAGAACACTGTGAATAAATAATACTTGTATTTAGCACAAAAACTGCATTTATATAATGTGTTAGGACTAAAATGTCATAAAAATATACTTTTAATTAAATACATTTTTAAGAAACAGATATCTAATATCACTAAACACTAAATTTCTAAGGTGACATCTGTGGTTTTACTAGAGTGGTTTACATTTGTATAACCTATTTATATTTATTATTTATAATATAAATAGGTTATACAAACCTTTTTTTTTTAATTGGTTGCATAACTTATTTAAATTTTATATTTATAATACCTTTTTGATTTATATATTCTTTTTTATTTATGTAATTAACTATAACAATAAATCAACTCTGGTTAGAGATTTTGCATTTGATATTATTTAGGTAGTTCAACACAGAACAACAGTTAAACCTTCAAAATTAAAGTAATTTATTTGATTTGCTAAATATATTGCCATAATTGGAATAGCATTACATTCTTAAAAAGAAAGAAATGCTCAGTGGCTGTATTCTCATCTCTCCATTAAGCTTAACGGAGCATTTGTCAAAAAGTTCTTTTTAACTACATTAATTTAAAAAATTCTTTAAAAGTATAAATTTTTAAATAAAGTTGTTTTATTTTAGTATTATTTTTAATTAAACAAATTTAAATAAAGTTTTTGTCATCTCTTTACATAAAGATGTTGTAACAAAATTTTTGACAAACGCTCCGTTAAGCTTAACAGAGAGATGAGAATACGGCTGCCGCTCAATGTATTTCTGTTTTTAGAATTTTAAAATATTTTTTAAAGTTATTAGAACCACAAAAAAATATTAAAGTTGTTTCTGTTTTAATACTTAAAAAAATATTAACTGTAATAATGTTATACCTGTTATTATTGTTATTATTATTATTGTAAAACTAATGATATGTATTTATAAGAAAGAAAGAAGCTTTAAAGTAAAAAAATGAAAAGCAAAAAGTGAAACAACTCAAAAGTTATTTATGAACAGCAGTAATTAATTTTGTTTCATTCTTTAGTCACCAATGCAAAATGATTTTGGATTTAAACATCAATGCTTTTGTTTTTTCAACAGACCTGACTGTTAGTCTTCATTCGATTAAAGTATGTATTCTTTATTCATCTTTTGATGTTTTAGAGTTTTTATGATGATTTTTGGTATTTCTTTTTTTTACTATTATAAAAAATTTTTTACTATTAATTTAATGAAAAGATATAGTTATAAAATATATAGAAAAAATATTTTACAATTTCTATGTATTTATTTTTCAGTAGTGTTTTTGATTTTTTTATTTTGTAGAGCTTTTCATAAATAAATGTCAGCAAAAATCTATAATGAGACTTAACTTTTATTGTTGTGTAAACAAATTAAATTTTACTCAAACCAGAAAAATTTGTGTTGCAAGTATTTTTTTAATAGAATTTTTAATGTTTAAAGTTTAAAAACCTTATAGCATTAAATTCTTTCCAAAAAACTTAAAAAGTTTAACATAATTAGACCCAGAAAAAGTTGTTTATTATATTTAAAAATGTATTAGATGTTGGAAGAACTTTCAAAGTATTACTCAAAGAAGTTTATTGTTTCTGGTGATAGCACTGAGGTTTGTTTCTGGTTGTTTTAAAGATTATTTGTTGAATTTTGTTATTTTGTCAATTTTTATGTAATTTGTTTATTAAGAACTTATGTAAATTACTATCGACAATGTTAAATTCAATATAATACTTAATATAATATTTTATATCTGTTCATTGAGTGTACTTGTGATTAACTATTATAGTGGCGTAATTGTAATAGTTAACCGCAAGTAAAGCTGTTTATCAGACTGATTATAAAATTGTCTGGTTTCGGTTCCATAGCCAAATATTCTTAAACTGCAGTTCCAACTTCAGATTCAGACCTATGGTATTTATTATGTGGAGTTAGCTCTGGCTCGATCTCATTTAAATTTACTTTATTGCCTGTATTTCTTCAGCAAGAGTGCTCAATGAATGGCATCAGAGCTTTATATCCATAATGTTACACACTATGTAGCTATTTTTTTATCTCGTCAAACAAAAAAACAAAACAATTATATATATATATATATATATATATATATATATATATATATATATATATAAAAATAAATATATATAAATATATACATATATATACATATATACATATATACATATACATATACATATACATACACATACATATATATATATATATATATATATATATATATATATATATATATATATATATATATATATATATATATATATATATATATATATATATATATATATATATATATATATATATATATATATATATATATATATATATATATATATATATATATATATATATATATATATATATATATATATATATATATATATGTGTGTGTGTGTATATCATAGGTGTGTCTAGAGGTCTTGCCTGTCATGCACAGGCATGACCTGCAAACAGCACTTTAATTATGATTATTTAATTAAAAATGGATGGAAAAAAAAAAATTCTTAGATATAGAATACCTTTTTTATTATTTAGTTACACAAGTATTTTACATTTATATTTTGAAATAATAAATTTTTTAATAATTAGTTAAAAATATCTAACTGAAGAAATATAGTATTTATATAGTAAATATAGTAAACATTTGAATTCATTTTTGCACTTAGACTCATTTATTACTCATTGTTTGTTCAAGTTAATTCATGTCTTCAGGCTAAGGATTTAGATCTTTTAAATTCTCTAAATATGATCAAATCACTAAAACTGAGCATATCTAAATTAAGATCAGATGTTAACTAATTTCAAAAAAATTTATAACAAGACAGTTGAGTGTTGTCAGAAACTGCATTGATCATTCCTCAAGTAAAAAAAAGAAAAATTTCTTCAAAAATTGATTGGAAAATCAATATTTTTCATGTACCAAAGAAGAAGAAATGAAAGTTATGAGTTTTAATGTTGTTTTAAATGACTTGTTAAATGGCTTGAATGATGGTTTCAATTAGGAAACATTAAAACTTATACTTGCTGTTACAAATATATTAAAACTTGAGCCATCTCAAAAAGATTTATTGTTTTTGAATAATTTATTTGGAATTGATAGTGAGCAAATTCAAGTTGAGATTATGTTCTTAAAAATATACCTAATGTACCATCTGGAATCACCTCTAAAGCACTTCATCAATAGATTGATTTTCTAAATTAAAAAATTAGAATTTTTCTTCACTTATATAAAGTCATAGTACTTTTTACCACTATTCCGGTAACAACTTGTTCATGCAAATGTGCATTATCTAAGCTGACGATTGTGAAAACAAAACTCTGCAGCAATATGACTCAAAAAAGACAATAATGTTTTTATTCATAGAACAACAGATGACAACAAATATTAATTATGAAAGTTATCGAGGAATTTAAAGTGATGATACCAACAAAACGACATTTAGAACCAATTCCCCCTGAATATGTTGTGAACGACCTGCAAATAAAGTCTGGACACGCCTATGATATATATATATATATATATATATATATATATATATATATATATATATATATATATATATATATATATATATATATATATATATATATATAGTGTTGCAAAAAAATGCGTTTTTTTGCTGTCGCGTTTTTTTCACCCAAAAAAAAACGTTTTTTTTAGTTTTTTTTTGGCGTTTTTTTGGTTTTTTTGGTTTGGGTGTAGGTTTTTTTGGATTTTTTTTAAACTCTTATGGTATATTTGTTTACTAATTTTGTGTAAACAGAGTGTTTAGCCAAAGTGGTATAAAAATATTTATCTTTTTGATTAGGAAAATGGCTAAACAGTTATTTATTTTTTAAAAAACTCTCAAGATTTTTACCTCAAAAAAATTATTTTCCTTATATTAAACATGAAAAAAACCTTTTTTTATTTTGCAAAGCAGTGTTTCATATAATAAATATATATTTCTTTCATATAATAAAAATATTTATTTAGATAATTCTAATTCATTCCATTAAATAATACATTTATTATTATTCAAAAAAAAATTATGGATTAATGAAAAATTTAATGAACATAAGTTGGAGAAGTTAAAAAAGTTGAAAAATAATTTTGTAATTTTAAAACCAGTGACAGATCCAGGGGAAATGAGAGGTATGAACCTACCACCCCGCACCAGAATCCATAAATTTATAAAATATCTTTAAATTTTTAAAAATTTTTTTAGTAGGCAAAAATGTGATACAAAATAAACTAAATTTTTAACAAGCCCCGATTCCCCCTCACACCCACACCAAAAATTTCCGGATCTGACTTATTTTACGATGCAGTGTTACTTCATTCATATAATAAATTCTTAAAACAGTTCAATATTAAAAAAGATACAATTCATGGCCTTTACTTATAAAAATTTACTTCTTTGTCTTTACTTATAAGAATTATTATCAAAAATTATTCAAAAAAAAAAAATTGTTTTTCTAATTAATGCTGCTTTTTCAAAATTTTTTTTTTTTTGAATAATTGAACAACTGCTAAACTAAGACAATACTAAAAATATGGTAAACGGAAGTATTGAAACAAGTATTTAATAAAATATCACCAAAAATAAATTTTAAAACCATTTCAGTGTTTAAAATGCAAAAGAGTAGTTTTTAAGGCAAAAACGCAAAAAAACCAAAAAAAAACCAAAAACAAAGTCCTTGTTTTTTTTGGCCAAAAAAACGACTTACATCTCTCTCTCTCTCTCTCTCTCTCTCTCTCTCTATATATATATATATATATATATATATATATATATATATATATATATATATATATATATATATATATATATATATATATATATATATATATATATATATATATATATATATATATATATATGACAGCGGGTTTAGGGCTACAAAAAATGTCACTAAAGCCACACTGTATTAGGTATTGTTAACACACTGATAAATACTGTTTTTAGCTAAAAGATAGGCTGCACCTTTTTCTCATATAGTGTGGCCCTAATCTTCCATGGTTCATAGTGTGTGTGTGTTTAATAATAATAATATAAGGTGGCTTTAGCAGAATTGTTAAAATTGGGCTGCATTAATAATTTTTAAATATGACTTTGTTTGTGTTCACCTTGTTTAGTTTTATCCGAAGATGAGGAGTTGATTTAAAATAGTATCTCGCTATAAAAATGCTATTTGAGTATTTAAAAACTTTTATTTTGGTAGTTATTAAATGTTTAAAATATTTAAACAATTTTTAATCAATATTTACAAACCGCTTTATATTTTCAAAATTTATAAATTAAATTAGAAACCAAGACCTTCTTTAAAAAGGCCTTGACAACGTGATGAACTTTTTTCTACTGAAGGTCGATTTAAAAAAATTACGGACAAGCAGTAATTAACAGTGTGTTTGAAAAAATTCCTAATTTATTATTATAAAATTAATTATTACTGATTGAGGCTAAATAACTACTTTTTGATAACATCTAAAATGCTTGTAAAGTTGAATAAAAATATTTTCAATTGAGATATTTAATATAAAAGAAACAATAAGTAATTAAAAAAAAAAAAAATTGGTGTGTATATAAATGTTGGTTTCATATTTTCAGCCGTTACTGCAATAGCAACTGATTCTTTTAAATTAAATCTTCATATTAATTTAAAATTAATAAATTATAAATTAATGTGAAGATCTGATTACATTACAGGACTTCTCTATATTTAAGATAATATATGAATCTCTATATCAAAGATTTGCACCTGAATTTTTACTATTTTCCAAAAATCATTATTTTCCAAAAATCTATAATCAACAAATAGTATAGTATCCTTGACAATTTCTTGGTCTATTTTAGAATGAGTTTTTAGAGTTGCAAAGAGTCTCTTCACTAAATACTTGTAAAGAATGGTCTATTGCCATTCTATTAGTTTAAAATTTATTGATGTTTCAGTCAACCTAGATAATTGTTTTTTTTTAAGTGCATATAAGTAAACTAAATCTCTCTAATTTGCTATGTAAGTTATTTCATTTTAAATGAACTGTAACTGACCTAGTTTTTCTATCAGCCAATTATTTCTTATACACTTCAAAATATGTATATAAAATATAAGAACCATTTTGACATAACCAAGGTTTTCCATCTATTGTTTTGAATTTATATAAAAAGCTTTGGTTAACTCTTTGGTTTGGTTAATTTCCATCAGTAATAATTACAATTACTTTATTATTACATATAGAACTTTCTACGGTATCTAAAATTAGTTTGTATTGGTTTAGTTGGAAATCTAATGTTAGATTACTACCTGGTAAAATTCTAGCTAAAAGCTTAAAAAAAATAAAATTACCAGAAGAGTTTATTTTTGAATTTATACAAGTTAAAGTTCAAATACTTGGCAACTGATAATCACTACACAGTTGATTGTAAGTGGTACAATTTGTTGCGAAATAATCAAAAGTCTTGGTTATTATATCAGGAGAATAAACAGCACAGCCCACAGAATCTCCCATTAAATTTAGATGCTCAAATAATATTTGGGTTTTATGATCCTCATCTTTAAGTTTTAGATATTAAGACCTTCATTTAAAGCTGACTTTGTACTAAAGAAAATTAT